AATGGGCTTTTGGAGACGACCTGGGAAACATCCCTGAGAATGATCCGAAGACATACCATCACAATTTTGATCATCTGCAGAGGGTATAGCACTCCCGCTTCAGTAGGCCGACGACCTACCAGCGAAGTCCAGCACTTCAACTGGAAGTTGTGTCTTAACAATCAGTTCACCGCGGGACATTTATTTAAAGACTATTATAGTAATAATTCAGCTTAATCTAATAGAGATGTACTAAAATTTGTAAACAAATAAAAGATCCTTAAAAACTTTATGTTGTTTAAATTTAAATTAAATTTGATACAATGATACTAAAAAAATTGAAATAAATTCCTACAAGTAATTTATCAACTATAAGAATTTAGGATATATCAACTACTTTATTAGCAGGGTTGCCCCTCTAATCTGGAAAAAAAAATCCCTGTACATATTACATGCAAAAGATTAAGAGGAAACACACACTCACTGTGTTCTTGCGACAGCTATATTGGTCTTACTATACTAATTTTAATTACTGGAAAAACTTAGAGAAAAAAGGTACAACTGAACATACTTAAAACAAGCAATGTTATAGTAAATGAAATACAGTGAAACCTCTCGGTAAGGGCCACCTGTCCTTCCATTGAAAATTGGCCCTTATGGGGGTGGCTCTTAAATGGGGGTGACCAAAAAATAAAATAATATTGGCCCTTAATAGAGGTGGCCTTTTGGAGAAGTTTCACTGTAGTTTAATATAGCTGAAATATCATCCTTAAATATCCCTTAGCATATATTACACTTTACAATTATTTAGAGAAAACTTAGAGAAAAAAGGTAAAAACTTAGAAAAAAGGTACAACTGAACATACTTAAAAAAAGCAATGTTATAGTAAATGAAATAGTTTAATATAGCTGAAATATCATCCTTAAATATCCCTTAGCATATATTACACTTTACAATACATTACACTTTGAGTGGTTACATTTTTTTTTAAAATACGAAAATAAGAAGCAAAATTCGCCTTTTTTCTCCAGTTGTTAATGAAATCTCAGAATTCCCTGCATTTTCCCAGTTATTTCAGGTGATTTTAAAATTCCCTGTATTTTCCCGGTGAGTGGCAATCTTGATTAGAAACAGGGTGTGTAGCCAAATCTTTTAACGAAAAATAAGCACCTTTTAAGCACTCAAAAAATATTTTTAAGTACTATACAGGGTGGTCCTAAAATATATGTCAAAAATGTAAAGGTAGGTAGAGGGGACGTAAATAAGCACATTTCGAATAGGAATGTGTGTGAGATACATTAAAGCACTAGCTTGTAAAGCAGTAGGAATCAGAGGAAACTGAAAGGACAAAAGAAAAGAAAAATTTATCAACAGTTTACAAGAGGTGCTCGAAAGAGCAGCCACCAACAACGATACAAGATTCACAGCGACTGCGCATGGATCGGCGTACAGCAGAAAAGACATTAGGCATGTCGAGCACATGTAAAGCAGCAACAGACAAGTGGGCAACAAGATCTTCTTGATGGGACTCTCGTACACCAGGCTTTTAATATGACCCCAAAAGAAAAAATCCAAGCAGGTTAAATCAGGAGAACGCGGTGGCCAGAGAACTGGACCATCCCGTCCTATCCAATGATGGCCGTAGACAGCGTCCAGGTGATTTCTGACGATCCCTGTACATACTCTGAGCAGCTAATCAATTTCCTTGTGCAGCCCCATACATGAAATGCACGTCGGCAAGCTCCACATTGGTGAAACGATGCATGCTGTTTGAGATCCGTGCGAGAATCCAGCTAGCAAGCGCTTTTATACGCCGCAGTCATCAGCGCTCCCTACCGGCTCAAGGCGGCATTACTGCACACACAATCCTATACGAAATATGCTTATTTAAGTCCCCTCCACCTGCCTTTACATTTTTGACACAGATTTTAGGACCACCCTATATACATTAACAAAAAGCAAAATAATTTTCAAAGACTTTACATGATCACGATAAAATAACTAGTTTCTGACTAAGAAATCTTTTCTTGATTATATTAGCCACACTAAAAAGATCGAGAGAATTTTAGGTTCGAAAAATGAGGGGTGGGGAATTAAGTAATTGAGCATATCTAGCAAAATGCAGCAGAGTTACACATGAGAGTGCTAGAATTTTACCGAACTCAGCCCAGTAGACGCACATGCGGACTCGCAAGTATTTCGTCAAACCAATAAAATTATTGCCGCTTTCATACGCTATGGACCGACAGATAGCGGATTGTGGTTGAATGAATCGTGAAAATGGCGAACAGAACAATGTGAAAAGCACGCTTTTACATATTACGTGCCGAAAATCCACAGGGTAAAGAAAAAAATCTCGTTTTCGAAAAGAAAAAAAAATCAAGCACTTTTTAAAAACACCCCATGAAAAAAGCTTTTAAAAAGCGAAACGAAGCACCTTTAAACACTTTTTAAAAACGCTACGCACCATGAGAAATAAGTTAAGAGCTGTTTCAAAAAGTTTTAGAAATTTTTTCACATTTGTTCATTTTCTTCCTTAAAAGGAAAAATAGTTGAAAATTCATCTGTAGATAGGCTGCAATAATCAGCAGTGTCCGCTGCCCTGCTGGAAGGTTTCCGTTCAAGGGATATTCACTAGCTACTATCAAGACAAGTTCAGTATCGTAGCCGTTGCATTTTTTCAAGCAGGAATCAAATGCGACTAAATCCTAGTTGATAGGATGAGCTAAAGTTGCCCGGGTTTTACTCATACAAAATAAAATTTTTACCCTTTCACCTCCTCTCACTAAAATTCAAGAGTCGCAACTTTTTGGTAAAGTAGGGTAAAATACTTAAGATTATTTTTATTTCCAGATTATAGACAGTAACAGCATATATAAACATCTAAAAATAAGAACAGAAACAAAAGATGCTGCAACAGAATCTATTAATCACAACATGTCTCCAGCTTCCCAATAGCTTCAGTGATAGAATTCCTGCAAAGTGCAGAGCAGTGGAGAGGTCCATGTCCTCACCAGAACTGCAAAGAGTGCATACCGGGTAAGGAGCGATACCAAATCTAGACAGATGTTTCCGCAGACAGTCATGACCAGTGGCCAAGCGGAATTCAGCCACCGCTCTTCGTCTTGGACCATTTCGCAAATTTAGGATGGTAGCCCTCCAAGACTTAGTACGGTCGGTAAGTTTTTCATGAGCACAGGTCTTAAAGGTCCTCTTAATAAGCTGTTTGATGGAACAGAAGGGCATAATGTGGGCAGAAGTCTGAATAATTAAGGCCCCCTTCTTTGCTAAGTAGATACTTAAGATTATAAATAGGTGGAATTTTTACTTATTTTTCATCATCTATGGTTCAACAGCCCAGGGTGTGCCTTGGTCTTCTCAAGAAGTTTTTTTCAGGCTAACATTTATTTCTGCTAGCGTTTTCCAGTTTTTAGTTAAGACCAAAGGGTCTTTTTCTAGGCAATCTATCCATGTCAATTTCGGCCTGCCTTTTTTTCGTGTGCCATCTGGTCTGGTATTGAAAATTCTTTTTGTGGTACGGTCTTCATCCAGTCTGATAACGGGATCTGCCCATTTTATTCTTTGTCATATAATAAAGTTAATAATGCCAGATTCATTATACGAGTGATGAAGCTCTAAATTTGTTCTTCTAAGTCACACACCATTTTTTTGAATTCCTCCAAAAATACTTCTGAAGACCTTTCTCTCAAATGTACCCAACATAACCTCACCCGTACAAGATATGGTCCAGGTTTCACAAGCATATGTTAAAATTTATCTTAAAAGAGATTTTATAATAAAACTCTTGTTTTTCTATGACTTACATTAGATTTTATGGATTTTAGGATCTGAAACTTTTGAGCCATCATCAATTGTACACAAGTCAAAAATTTTACATTACGTAAAAAACATCTTGATAACTTCTAATTTAATTGTCACATTGTCTTTTATTTCCCTTATACCTACATTGAAAACAATACTTCATATGTCTAGAAAGCTAGTTTCTTCTCCCCTTCTCAACAAAACCTTACACGCTAGATTAAGCTGCTTTTTACCACTTACTTAGAGGAAGGTATTTAGCACATATCTGTCAGTATGACGAAAACTTGCATTTTGTTAGTCAATCACCAGTACCTAAATGATGATAATTTGTTATTTGTATATGTCATTAAATAAGAAACTATCAAAACAGGCAGACATTAGGGCAAAGATGGTGCAAATAACGCAGGACGGATATGCAAATAATGTACTCGTAGTTTAATGCAGGGCAGAATCTTTTCTGGAGGTCCTGGTTTTGACAATTTTTAACTGTACTATATAGTATTTTTAATTTTTCTTATAAAATAATATAACTTCTAGTCATAATTATAAAAAATCCCCTTTATAAAAATACTTATCCACTTTAATTTTGTTCAAACCTCATTTGGAGATGAGGTTTTAGGATTTAAAATTTATTGATTAAAAAATTGACAAAACTGATTACTTGAACATACTGAAAAAAAGATATCAGAGTAAACACAAGAAGCTTGAGATAAGAAAACGATTCTACAGGGTTGCGTGGCCAAATTTTTCAACAAAAAATAAGCGCCTTTCAAACACTCTAATCGTATAGACACGGTTCCCAGTAGAACACCGAAATCAATCATCACTGGCTGCGGTCAGTAAGCAGGTGGGTGACCACTTTGATCAGCCTGGGTAGTGACAGAGGGTGCACGGTATCGGTCCTCGATTAACTGTTCTACCGTAAAGTGCTTGACTTCGCATGCAGCTAATCGGGCTACCAAAGCAGGGGAGCTATCCCATCTGAAGAGGATCGAAATTGCAATGGCACATCTTCAGATTATCCTCAGTGATGTCTCCCAGACCGTCGCCAATAGCCTATTGTGCAGCTCCAGTACGACGTAAATAAAGTATTTACCTATTATCAATTACTTAACAATATTAAATGAAAAAAAAAACATGACCAAAGTAGTGTAGGTTTCATAATGAGTAAAAATAGCAAAAAAAAGAGAAACAAATTCTATATTTAATTTTATTAAAAATATATTTCATATTCAGTAGTAATTTAAAGATTCTATATACAATAATGCATGAGATTTACAAGATGATATGTAAAATGTCATTTCATTTTCTTTTTCTCATATTTTATGACCTGAAACAAAAGGAAACAATTTTAATATCCAGGGTAATTAAAAACGAATATAGCAATTACAAACTTCGATAATTATTTAATGAAAAATAACTTTTCTATAAGATTAACGTAGAATGTAGGCGGAACTTTAGTGACGCATGTATGCAAAATTTAAAAATTCTTTTTACATCCTGTGTAAATTTTATCGATGAATTCTTTTTCATTAAATTCTTATAGCCGTTTGTAATCGCCCCTGTGGCAGAAGCGCGGTGACATTGTCGCAGAACGTTACAGAGCTGACGCAGAAAAATTTTTCTTTTGGGAAGAAACAATTTTGGTTTTCTTTTCTGCAGAAATTCACACGTAAAATTTGAATTTTAATTATAAATTTTTGTTGCGTTCAATTTACGCCGATAGTATGGGTTATCCATGTAGTGTTTTGATTGTATTTTCGGCAGTTATTGATTTTCATGTGGTTTTTAAGCCTCCTGATATATTACAGTCGATATGGGCAATTCTAATCATGCATTCGATTATTTACCTTTTCAGGCAACGATTACTTCATTTTTAGGGCAATTATTGCTTTTGATTTCCCCATAGTTTTTAAAATCCGATATTATTTATTACTACTATCAAATCTTGAAATGAAACAGGCATTTGAGTAACCTCTTTTTGAAGAGTTCGATTCAAGTGATTTCGTTGTCCTTGGCATTTACTGCTACGGATTTCATGATTTTTAATTATCTTTCTTAATGCGTTAATGATTTACAAAATGCGATAAAGAAAATAATTGGTGAGTTTTCTTCTTAACATATCGCCCATAATATTATAAACAAAAAAATATTACATATTCAATTACAAAAATATATATTTATTTTATGAACACAGCGTTTTTGTTACCTTGAATTAGTAACATACAACTTTGTTATTATTGAAAGCATCTTGGAAAAGATATTAGTTCTGGAGTTTTGTCGCAGAAAATCTGAAAACATTCTGCCACAGGGGTAATCACTGTATTCATTTTAAATTACCCAGTACATAAACAAGTTACTATTTTAGGAATCCTTCAATTTAGGAATAAGTCTGATTTTTTTTTTTTTTTTTTTTTTTTTTTTTTTTTTTTTTTTNTTTTTTTTTTTTTTTTTTACAAGCTTATAGCGATGCTGTTCAAATATTGTGCAAGCACCAAATGGGGAAAAATAAATGATTAGCTTATTTTTACTGACAAGGGTCGGTGGGTGGTATATGATCAATGTTTGTCTGTTATTTTTAAAATTTTTTAAATGTAAAAGTAGCTAAGAAACAAAAAAAAAAATACATTTGAAAAAGTTTCAAATTTGAAAAAAGAATTAAAATTAAGTAAAGGAAAAGTTGTAAAAAAAATTCTTTAACCCCTTAATGCATTTGCCCATGCAGGCCCGGACTGGGATCTAAAATCGGCCCGGGCATTTTGGAGACATCGGCCCTCTATCTCACATAAACACCGCGTGCACGAAGCGTACGCGGCTCCTAATGTATCATTCTTAGTCATTTTTTACTTATAAATTCTCATGAACGTAAGTTAATTTATCGAAGTAAGAAAGTAGATAAAAATTGCTTAATAATCCTTTATAGAATATATTTCAGTTTAAAATACATGGTTCTTATGAGGTAATAGGTTGATAAAATCAAAAAGAAGGTGAAAGATGAAGAGTAAATAAAAATATTTATTATACTACACATACATGAATGATTTATATAAAAAAAAATTTAAAAATAGATTTGATGCTTCTTCAAAAGTCACTAAATTAAAATTAAATTTAACTTTTGAAGAGGCTCACTATTTTCTGCCACTTGATCGATTATGTCGTCGCTATCTAATTTCATTAATAGATTTTTTTCTATTTGCCATTACCATGAGAGCATTCAAATTATCAGAAGATAAAGTACTCCTCATTCTATTTTTAATTATTTTTAATGATCTTTCACAAGCCACCTGACTTTTTGACAATGTTAGTAAAAATTTTAATGCTAGACTAATTAAATTGGAAGAATTGGTCAATCAATTGAATCTCTGTTGTAACATCTTGTGGCAACAAATAACACAATTTTTGAACGCACTGCGTGTCTCACATTTTAGACTTACTTCTTCTGTTTCCAAAGAAAAGTCGTTATTTCATTTGAATGATCTTCTGTGATTATTTTATAATCTCCTAAGTCTGAATTTTTCAGTTTTTCCCAATGTAAAGCTAAATTTCTTAGTTCAATCCGAAAACTTTCACCTATAGCTGTTTCGTCAAATTTTAGCAAGAGTTTGCTTAGCTCATTTAGTTCGCCAGATTGAAGCTTGTTAAGACGTTTTTCAGGAAAACGTTTCGGATCTAGATAGGAAAAATCGGCGTACAATTTTCCATTTGCCAGAAATCGGCGTTCCATTGACGCTACAACTGTGCTGAAAATAATGTTATGGACGTTTATCTTAAATGCAGTGGTTTCATCATCAAAAACTGTTTCATTCGACGCTGTCTCACCCGGCATCAATTTTCTTTTCTTCAATCTTTTTTATGGAAACTTTGTTTGAATTTCAGTTTCAGTTTCTTCAAGCTCCTTATTTGCGCAAATAATGAAATCATCTGTAACTTATTGTACACCTTCAAAATCTCTCACTATTTTTTTTATGTTCTGAACACGTTTGTGATACCATTCCAAAAGCTTTTAAGATGTCTAAACCAGAGGTTTGCAAATATTGGGAGAGCGTTGTAGTTAATTCAAATATTCTTGAGAATATTTTGACGGTGATTACTGTTTCATATTTGCAAAATGATTCCAAAAATATTTCTGCCTTTGCACGGATATCTGGCTTGAAATTTGAATTTTGTTGTATAGTTTCTAAACTTGTAATCAATGTGGTATATAACGGCTTAATAGTAGAATCTGAGTTTGAAAATTAACCAAACATTTTCTTTAATGCAGAATCTTTGGACCACCAACGTGTTTCTTCAATAGTTGCGAGCCTTTTTTTTATTTCCGTGCTCGTTACTTTGTTCCCAGATGTTCATGCGTTGGTATGATTCACGGAAAAATACTGCGACGCTATTTAGTAGGCTGAAAAACTATGCACTTTCAATTAGTGTCTTCGTGGTATCTCCTAAAACTAAATTTCAGACATGTGCATAACACCACACATGAATGAGACCAGGGGACTCTTTGGAAAGCCATGAAGAAAATCCTTTATATTCACCTTACATATTTGCAGCCCAGTCAGTTGAATTACCGATGCACTTTGTTATATCTATATTACAAGACTTTAAAACTGAATCCACTAAAGAAAGCACATTCTGTCCAGTTGAAGATTTACATACACTCTACAACAGCAAGAAGTCTTTCATATACACGATGTTTCATATATTTTTTAAATAGAAACCTATATCTTATTTGGCATCATTGAAGAGAGTTTTTGAAAAGAAATAACTTTTACTTAAAATATTTTTTAATATCTCCTACTATTTTCAAGATAATAGATAAGAAAAAATACATATTAAATAGATTTTGACATATTCACTAAAAAAAAATTTTTTTCGTCATAATGTCTTTTACCTTCATTAAAACACATTTGTGCTTTTCTTCCCATGTTTTATAAAAATTGAAGCGATTTTGATAATTTAAGTGAATTATTTTTGATAAAAATGATAAATTGAAGTAAATAATCAGAATTTTTTCGTATCTATTATCTTGAGAACAGTAAGAGATATAAAAAAAATTTCAAGTAAAAGTTGCTTCTTTTCGAAAACCCTCTCCAATGATGCCAAATAAGATATAGGTTTCCATTTAAAAAATCAAAACTGTGTTCAAATTCCGGTACTTCCGGGAATTAACAATATCACTATTGAATTCCTTGGGGTCGATTTAGTTATTAGATTTTTTATTTCAAATCGATTATTTGCTCCATTCTCGAAAAAAATGGGTAGCACGCATGATCTGAATCACCCTGTATATTAAAACAATATTATTACCACATATATCATATATATGTTATTTAATATTATTATTATTTGCGCAATATTGTTTGAATTCATGCAATGTATAAAAAAAAATTGTCGCTGCTGGCTCGGTACAATCGGCCCTCAGGCCAGACCGGCCCACCGGGCATTTGCCCGGTCTGCCTACTGGCCAGTCCGGGCCTGTGCCCATGTCTCAATAAAATCCACATATTGTTAAAAATTTTTGATAATACTAAGAAAAAAAATTAATTAGATTTCAAACAATACTTTAATAAACGAGCATAGGAGTTAAAAATAATAGAAATCAACATATATTGAAAAAGTGATAATTTATTAAATTAAAGTTCCCACTCATAAACTTAAGAAATTATAACTAATATGCACACTTATAGGCACATAAGTTTTTTTAATTAGGAAATATTTTGTATGAGTAATAACAACTAATATTGAGAATAATAAAAATTTATAACTTTAATTTTAAGCAGGGATCAGACAATTATTGGCGACTATTGAGTTTTGCCAATCTAAAAAATATGCCTAAAATGTGGCATAGAAGAATTATAATTAATATTTAGATTGACAATAATTAACAACTCATAGTTAATAAATATAACATAAACTGAACAGTTATAATACAAATAATATTGGTCAAAAGTATTAAGAGTGTCATGTTTCTCCAAAAACAAATTAATAGTTTCAATAATTTTGGCTATACACTTTTTGTATATTATATATAATATGAATTATAATTGTATAAAATGCAATAGTGTATATTATTTCCTATTAAATGAACTGATAAAAAATTAACTTGTCCCAGGGTTTGGTCAAATTTGGTCACAGTTTATGCAGCTTTTCAATGCGTCATGTCTAAAATCCCAACCTGAGTTTTACATATAATTTACATTACGAAATATTTATGCTTGCGATTTCCATAGTTTACTATGGAAAAATTCTCCATAGTTTACAATGGAAAACAAAAGAAGTAGAATCAGACTACGAGATACTCCAAAACTCGCTAATTTTAAAAAAAGAGCAGAACAGTACTTACTTGTTTAACATGTTCTTCTGCAATTTCTTGAATGCATTGACTTGTGCCTAATTTGCGAGGATCACCCTGAATATCCTGCAACAAATTGAAATTAAGTAATTTTATTCATTAACCGGCATTGAACAGCAGATCCATTCTGGAGTTGACAATTCCAAATCTCCAATGTTTAACTCAGTAGCCTAGTAATCTTAGAACCCAATGCGGAAGACAAGGAAACTTTTTGATCAAAGATTAGGATGAAATAGCCTGCATGGAGGAATTTTTTTATGATATGACATTAACCTGCATATGCATTACATTGAGTGGAAAACTACACAAACCTTAGAATCCCCTTGCCGTAGGGCTATTTATCGAACTAATGAGTTATTAGCGAGAATCCCCTTGCTGTAGGGAATGAGTTATTAGCGAGAATGAGTTATAACGAGTTATAAGTTTTGCTTTTTATTTCCTTTTACAAAATAATTTTTATTAGGACTGGTTCTTGAAGATACGATCAAAGTTATGTATTTTAGGAGCCTATCAGTTACACTTGAACAGTATTTTGATTTTATTATGTTCATTGAAGAAAATATTTGTTTACAATTCTACATTGATTTAAATCTACAACTCTAACTAAAAGCCAAATCACGTAAATTTAAAAAATTGCTATTTGGCACAATTTTCCCAAGTTCAATACAGTGCCTATGGTAGAATTTTTACAAATAATGAAAAAAATTCTGAAGGCAACATTATTATTTTCTCCCCATTGTTTTTAGTTTTTGAAGAAGGCTTTGCAAGTCACTATTAAAGCTCTGCCATATGACACAGTGGCACACATGTCATCTATGCCTTCAGTAACAGAAGATGGGAAAAAAAAAAGACTTGAATTTGCATTAATTTACATTTATGCATTTATTTTCAGCAGTCAGTAAATTTGTATCTCATTGCGTATCTATTAATATACACGTATGCTAATAATCAGTTTATAGGGTGACAGCAAATATATGGGGGGGGGGGGGGGGGANGGGGGGGGAGGGGAATCTTGCTAACTCTTTCACCAATATATGATATATATATAATATACATGATATAAAATAATAATAATAAATATGATAACTAAATATTATATATAAAGGAAAAAAAATACAAATATGGTAATTTCTACCAATTTTAGAAGAAGGATATGTATAGGATAACATCATAACTTCCTTAAATATTTTTCTCAACTTCAAAATGAGGTCATAATTTTCTTGATAAAACTTTTTGAAACTTGATACAAGTGTTTGAAATATGCTTCAAAATAATTTTAAGTATTAAACAGGAAAACTTTATGATAATAGCGTAATTTAATGACTATAAAAAGTAGTTGGGGTATTTAAAAACACTTAAAATACTAAAATTAAAAAAAAAAAAAAAAAAAAAATACATGTATCCTGATTTAAAAACCAATCTTTAAGGTTGCACTGATAGTTATGTTTTTAAGTTTGATTGTTTAAATTAAAAAAAATTGAGTTATGCACCTTATTTTTTCTTCTTCAAAATTTTAATGTCAAAGGTAAACTAATGGTATTTATATTTATTTTAAATTTATATTATTTATAATAAAAATTTGTACATAGCTGCCAACATGGATAAAAATCCAGTAGATTTAACGAAATATAAATTTCATAATAACTGTTGCATAAAGTACTAAATATTTTACTCATAGGGAATTTTTATAGTCATTAAAACAGGAAAACTGCAATATTTTCCTTTAAACTTACTTGAAATGTCATGGATTATTCTTACTCATAATTTCAAATATTAATAAGCATTTAATTCATAAAAGATTTTTTTAAATTAATTTAAAGACAGTTCTGAATAAAAATAAACCTAACATTTTAGATTAAAGAAAGTTTTGAACTGATTTCTATAAATGAGATTCGCTCCATTATGTATTAGTAATACTTATTTAACTATTCAAGAAAGCAAGCATTAATCTGTAAAAAAAATTCTATTTCAATAGGGATTTTTCAAGGAAACTTACTCAATTTTAGGGAATTTTCTAAAATGTACAAAAACTAGGAGAATTTTAATTAAAACAGTATATCAGGAGAAAGTCTACTGGAAAATCTAGTAGAGTTGGCAGCTATGTTTAGATAATTCTATGAAGATGCAAGAAGGTTGTATTTCAACATCTACTGTTCTTATTGATGTTAAATATATATCAAATGTATTAATATGTATTAAATATATAACATATTCACCTGTACAAATACTTGGCAAATGGTAAAAAGCCTTTTAAAGCAGGGCTTGAAAATAACATCTTCGATATTCACCCCATTCGATTCTAAAGCAGATGCAATGGCACTTCGAAGTTTCTGAAAAAAAAAATAAATAAATAAAAATACAAATATTATACATATTTTGAGAAAGGGATAATGAATAGAAAAATAAATAGCCTTTTTTTTCCAACTTTTATTTGGAGAAAAGTGGTTTGTGAGCCTGCAGATTATATAAGGAGCGAAATAACTGGTTTTGAAACTGTGAAGCATAATTTATTAATGAAAGATTTTAGTTTTTTGTAAAAATTCACATTGGTTTCATATAATTTTTATTTTGGAAGAAATTTTATTTCTTTCAGTTTCATAAAAATTAATGTATCTCTTTGTGTACTATTCCACCCTAAACAAGATGCATTTCTTTTGCAAAAGAAATACTTCAAATTTCAGAAATTTTGGCTGGAAATTTATATAAATATTCGAGATTATAAACTTATGTCATAGCATGGGATTTCCTGCATTGGAATTTACCTAGAGTCATCCTTTTCATAAACTAAAATATAACTTTTAATGATTCAAAGAACATTTTTTGGCCTGTTAAGAAACTATTAGACACAAACATACACATATACTTTTTTTTCAGAGGCTTGAATTTTTACCCTCAAAATATAGATACTATAAATAGAAAAGTATTTGGAAATTAAAAATTCTTGTACTCTGAAATATTGAACTAGTTAAAAATAACATTGTCTAAGAGAACAAAAAAAATTTTTACATCTTTTTTTTTTTTTTTTTTTTTTTTTTTTTTTTTTTTTTTTTTTTTTTTTTTTTTTTTTTTTTNAATATTGTCAATCAAAAGTTGTTCAGTATAAAATATATGCAATTTTTTTAAGATATTGTAAGCATTTTGAAGAATACATATTTTTTCCAAAATAGAAACAATTGAAAACACATGGTAAAAATGAAGGAAATAAAAATAATTATTTTTCAAACTGCGTAATTTTTTTTTTAATGCTTTTATCTTCAAAAATATGTACACTTAATAATGTGATGATTTATATAGGGGATTATTTTTTTAAACTTTGTTTATTAATTAAGATATTCAAAAGAAATTGATTATTCTGAAGATAAATATTTTATTACAACAGATTTTTATTTAATTTACAAGAATAGTTTCTATTTGAAAATTTTTTTAACCGAAATATGTATGTAATTAACTGAAATAATTGTGTGTATGTAACTTTTTCTTTATAGAAGGACGAAGTATTTTGATCTCGTAATTTGAATTTTTCTAGTCTTAAACGAGGATAAAATTTTAACTTAATTCAACAAGCAACTTTTAAAAATATCCATGAGCGCGAAGATTCGTTTATGACTTTTGCGAGTGCTGTATTGCGGCGAGCGTAGGGTTGCCTCTGAGTGAGGGTTACTAGATAAGGCGGTGAAACAGTTGACAAATAAAACCGCGGCGAGTGGAGGTGCCCGGGAGTCGACAATGTGTAAAGACACGACCCGGCAAGCCAAAAACCAACTTCCGGGCTGCATCTGGCAGTGTTGCCAGTACATGTACCATTTGTCGGGAGCTGATTGCATAAGGATTCCACGGACGAGCAGCAGCACATAAGCCAAACATCTCTCCATCAAACGCCCGCCACCAATTTCAGTGGTGCAGAGCACATCGCCAGTGGACAGTAGAGCAATGGAAAAGCGTTATGTGGAGTGATGAGTCACGGTACATGTTGTGGCACTCTGATGGACGGGTGTGGACCTGGCGAATGCCCGGAGAATGGTACCTACCGGAGTGTATTGTCCCCACTGTGAAGTTCGGCGGTGGAGGAATTATGGTGTGGTCCTGTTTCTCATGGTTTGGCCTTGGACCCTTGGTGTTAGTGCGTGCAACCCTGAACGCAGAAGGGTATAGAGACATCCTGGACAATTCGGTCCTTCCCACCCTGTGGCAACAGTTCGGTAATGGCCCGTTTGTGTTTCAACACGATAACGCTGCCATTCATAAAGCACATGCCATCACAGACTGGTTTGATGAAATGGGGGGTGCAAGAGCTTGATTGGCCATCCTAAAGTCTCGACATCAATCCAATTGAGCAACTCTGAGATGAGTTGGAGAGCCGGTTGACGGCCAGACCAAAGCGCCCCAAAACCACCACTCAACTCTTCGCCATGTTACAGGAGGAATGGCGGGCAATACCTGCCGCCGTGTACCAACACCTAGTGGATAGCCTTCCTAGAAGGGTTAAAGCTGTGATTCGGGCGCGTGGCGGCCCTACAGCCCTACTAACTTGATATTAGCACCTGATGTATCCGAATTGAGGGGTGTCCGGTCATTAATGGCCAGATAGTGTATGATATGATATAATATAACAATAATACAGTAGGGAACCGATTATCCGGAACGATCGGGACCATTGATATTCCGGATAACTGATTTTTCCGGTTTTCTGAATCGCTACAAAACCCCGTTTTTTTTATAGTTAAACCCAACTAAAAAAAAAAAAATTGGAAATAATCTTAAAAAGAAGAAAAAACGATGAAATAATACACTAATGATTATTTCCAAAATGATGGTAAGGTAAACATCTTTCAAATAAGAACGAAAAATCCTAAAATCCTATGAGGAAAAAAAATTTTTTTTTTTTTAATGGCGGGAAAACTAATCGAATTTCGTTCCGGTTTTTTGGTTTTCCGGTTTTCTGATTTCCGGATAACGGGTTCTGTACTGTATATATATATATATATATGATAACTAAATATTATATATAAAGGGAAAAAATACAAAAATTTCTACCAACTTTAGGAGAAGAATATGTATAGGATAACTTCTAAGCTTCTTTAAATATTTTTGTCAACTTCAAAATGAGGTCATAATTTTTTTAATAAAACTTTTTGAAACTTGATACAAGTGTTTAAAACATGCCTTGAAACAATTTTAAGTATTAAACTGGAAAACTGTATCATAATAGCATAATTTAATGGCTATGAAAAGCAGTTGGGGCATTAAAAACTTTAAAAAAATACTAAAATTCATAAAAAAATACATGTATTGTGATTTAAAACTGGTGAAATCCTGTAGTCTACATGAAAATCTAGTAGAGCTGGCAGCTATATTTACATAATTCTATGAAGATGCAAGAAGGTTGTATTTCAACATCTACTGTTCTTATTGATGTCATATGTACTAAATATGTAACATATTCACCTGCACAAATACTTGGCATATGGTAAAAAGCCTTTTAAAACAGGGCTTGAAAAGAACATCTTCGATATTCACCCCATTGGATTCTAAAGCAGATGCAATGGCACTTCTAAGTTTCTGAAGAAAAAAAAAATTAAATAACTAAAAATACAAATATACATATTTTGAGAAAGGGATAATGAATGGCCGTTTAATAATAATAGATAATAGCCGTTTTTTCTCAACGTTTATTTGTAGAACAGTGGTTATACTGTCAGTCTACAGATTACATAAGGACCAAAATAACTGGTTTTGAAACTGTGAAGCAAAATTTATTTATGATAGATTTTAGTTTTTTGTAGAAATCCATATTGGTTTCATATAATTTTTATTCAGGAAGAAATTTTATTTCTTTCAGTTTCATAAAAATTAATGCATCTCTTTCTTACAACCCAGATAAGATATATTTCTTTTACAAAAGAAATAATTCAAATTTCAGAGATTTTGGCTGGAAATGTATATAAATTTTCACGTATAAACTTATGCCATAGCATGGGATTTTCTGCATTGGAATTTATCTAGAGCCATTCTTTTCATCTACTAAAATATAACTTTTAATGATTCAAAGAACATTTTTTGAAATATGGAAACTACTTAGGTCTGTTAAAAAAACTATTAGACACAAACACACACACATTACAGTTAAATATACTTTTTCTTTCGGAGGCCTGAATTTTTACCCTCAAAATAAAGGCAGGAAATTAGGAAAATATGTAGGAATTAAAAATTCTCGTACTCTGAAATATTGAATTACTTAATAATTACATTGTCTAAGAGGAGGAAAAAAGTTTTTACATCTTTTTTCTTTTTAATTTTTTGCAAATATTATTGTATTATATAATGAATAAATGTAATTTATGTTTTTCTAAAAATATCCTTAAATAAAGCTTTATAAATAATAATGAGTTTTTGTTTACTTATTTTTTCATTTGCACAAGTTATAGACATACAAGACTAGAAATTAAGAAAATTTAGTCATTGGTCCAAACGTAAAATGTCCCTCGTAACTAAAAGACATAGTACACATTTTCATTGTTGGTTATCATATCTCTATTATATTTTTAAAAAAAAGTTTAAAAAAATTTAATACAGAGAATGTGTAATGTTCACAATTATGATGCAACATGTTATTTTGAGATAAAAACACACATAATTATTTCAAGGAAGTTCAAGTGAAAGTTTAGAGGACTCGGATCAACTAACAACATGTTAAATTTCAGACCAGAAAGTAATATTTTATAACCATTGTTGAACACCATGGTCCAATTTTTTGGGTTTACCGCTAATGTTCAACTCCGTATCCTTATAATTTTGAACCCAATCCAGAAGACAAGGGAACTCCTGTATCAAGAAATCTGCCTTCGTAGCTGACTTTTTCCTGGAATTAACTGGCATTTGCGTTACATGGAGGTGAAAACCACAAAAACCTCTCAATGTTAGAATGACGGCTAATGCTATCCACTGCCCAAATTTTGAGGATCAAAAATCTAAATAAAAGAGGGTGAATGGTGTTCATTGAAAGAAAGCACTCTTTTTGAGTCCGGCTTAATTCTAAACAGAATTTGTAACAGATAAGGCATCCAAAAAATATTGTATCAAAACCAATAATTTGTCATATTTCAGAATATTATCTAATTCTTTTAAATTTTATACATTTTACAACCTAAAGAAAATACAAAAATTTGACTTTATAATACATTAGAAGTCAATAGAGAAACACAAAAGGAAATTACAACTACCTTTTTCAAAACATCCGAAAGAGAGCACCTAGTTTTTTCTTTAATTGCTTTATTTTTCTCAACTTTGTTGGTTGAATTAAGACTCCTGAAAAAAAATGCCCTAATTTGATCACTCAAATTTTAAATAACAACAGAAATAAATACAATCCATACAGACTGGAATAGAAATCAATTAAAAGAGGATAATAAAGCAGGGTGCGTAGCCAGATTTTTCAACAAAAAATAAGCAGCTTTTAAGTACTTTTTAAGCACTCAAAAAATATTTTTAATAACCTTCTAAAAAAAAATCATAATTAGGATCTGTACAGTAATAAAAATTATTTTTTTCTATCATTTAAATGTATTAATTTATGAACATAAAATTAATAAAATTAAAAAAACATTTTCAAAAATTTTATATAACCATTATAAAATAACTAGTTTCTGATAAATATTGCAGAGAAAATTGTGAAAATCATGCATTTTTTGTAATTTATGACTACAATCGACACGACAAAGAAAAAGCCTCTTTTCAAAAGATAGAAAATTGAGCACCTTTAGCAAACCCCGAATAAAAAAAAGCACCTTGAAGTGCTTTTAAAAAAAGTAAATAAAAAATAAGCACCTTTGAACACTTTTTAAAAATGCTACGCACCCTGGAAAAATAAAATGACAGCGTAGTTGCTAACTTGTACAGTCATCAGCAGGGTTGGCTTGATTTAAATCACTCGTTTTTTTTTTTAAAAAGAAAAAAAGCATTAATTCAATTCAAGATTTATTAAAAAAAGTCACAGAGTTGTAAAAAACAGAGTCTTTTTTTGTGTGTGGCTTAATCAGGGATTTTTTTTTGTTTACTAAAAAAAGCATTAAATAATACTTCATCCACTAAATTAAAATTAATAAAATTATTATAAAGTACAACTGTGAAAACTGTTTTCAACTACTAATATGAGCTTGAGTGGGAGAAGTTGGTTATTAAGAAAAACTAAATCAGCTAAACTTTTTTTTGCTGCTGAGTTAGTTGTAATAAAATATTTCTAAAGAAGAATTCACAGCCAACAATAGAATAGTCAGAGCTCCCTTCTCTCACAGTCCTTCAACTCTTGAATCAAGGCTATTTTTGTGTCTAAAAATTATTCTTTTACTAGAGCAATGTCAGATTGGTGTTCAGAAAATCGACTATTGTATTTTAAATAGTCATTAAACATAGCTACCAACATGGATTGGAAAAAATCCAGTAGATTTTACAAAGTAATACAAATTTAATGGTAACTATTGCATAATGTACTAAATATTTTATGTATAGAGAATTTTTATGGTCATCAAAATAGAAAAACTGCAATATTATGATATGCTAAAATGTTTACCGATAATTTTAAATAGTAATAGGCATTTAATTCATCAAAGACAGTTAAAAGATTTTTCAATTAATTTAGAAAGGGATTTCTGAATAAAAATAAACTGAAAATTTAAGGACAAAAAAGTTTTAAACTTATTTTTATAAATGAGGCTAGCTTTATTATTTATAATACTTATTTTAATATTCAAGTAAGCAATAAGCTGTGCAAAAATTCCATTTCAATAGGGATTTTTTAGGAAACTTAAATGTACGAAAATCAGGCAAATTTGGAAATTTATTTTTTCGGACCAGGGGATTTTTTTTCATTTTTTCTTTGCACCAGGAGAAAAACCCATCATAAAAAGATTGAGAGATTTTTCAGTTTGATTTCAGAGGAGGGGGGGCAATGAAGTTAGAAATTGAGAATATCTTCCAAAATGAAGCAGAGTTGCACACAAGAGGGCAATAATCTCACCGTACCCAGCTCAGTAGACACACATGCGGACTCCCAAGTATATCATCAATCATGTAACACGATTGGCGCTGTCATACGTTATGGACCGACAGGTACAATGAAATGGATTGTGGTTGAATTAATTGTGAAAACGTTGTATAAAACAATGTGAAAACCACGCTTTTGCATAATACACAGTGAAAATTGACGTGGAAAAAAAAATCTAACTTTCAGAAAGGGAAAATTAAGCACTAAAAAAAAAAAAACCATGAAAAAAGCACCTTTAAACCAAATTTGGCCAAGTATATAAATTTTATAAAATGTAGCATTATTTTCATTGAAATATGCTTACATTACATTCACTAAGACAAAAATATTTTGTGCATAAATTTCTTTACTTTAAAGTGGTGCATATAGGCACCATTCACCAAACCAATCAACAAACCATTTAATTGAACGCTTGTTTTTCTCTTTTTTTATGAAATTTTTTTGTTTTGTTTACTGACTTGCAACTTCATTTCATCATAAAGACATAATGATAAATCCCAAAAGGAATAATTATACATTTTCAAACAATTCCATTTATCACTAACCATTTCAAGTTAAAAAAACTTTAATAGTTTAAAAATTTCTCAACAGAAAGTGTTTATTCCAATTGTATTACTATTAATCTTTGGATTTCTTTAGAGCCCTTGACAACAGCAGAAAAATAAAATTAGTGGAAAATATATGTCACAGTGTTAATAAAAAAATATTTATTGAAATGGTGTGTTTGCGCAGCGTTGGCCGAAAAGGGTTAAGGGCTTTTACGAAACAGAAATAAGCACCTTTAAGCACTTTTTAAAAAATCTACAAGCCATGTAATATCATTAGAATGGTTTCATATTTACCTAGAGGATGAATAATACTCGACTGAAGATTTCTTCCTTGGACTGCACCTGACAGGGACACTATTTTTCCTGGAAGCACGTTTCTTATGGACACTTTGATCATTTGAAGATTTGTTCACGCCTAAAGTCTTAATGATTGTGGAAATGACATGATCTGTCTGTCCTACAGTAGTCTTAAGAAATTTTTTCTTCACGCCAGCACTAGGCTTCATCATGACCTGTCGAAAAGAAGTTTCCAACTTACTGTTATTCTTGGGCCTCTTGCGTGGCGTCATGGACTTTGCTTGAATGGTGACGGGAGCCTCAGGCTGGTTCTGATGATTATTGCATGTGGACGCCGTCTCGTGTGGAACGTAGCATTTAACCATTTCATTTCCGAAACTTTCATTGTCTTCTGATTGTTGAGTTACATTGTAACTGAGGCAAAAATTAAAAGAAATTAAGAGAAGCTATAACTAAAATCAGAAGACAAGTTATTTAATTGAAAAAAAAAAGGAAAATCAAGGTAGAATCTTGTACTTTTATTGATAATAAACTTTATCGCGTTTTTAATTAAATGTTAGCATTTTTTTTTCTTATTTAATCCAATTTTTAAATAATGAGTTAAAAAAACTAACCTCTCAAATTTGGATTCAAACGGATGTTTTATAACTCTCTTTGGAATAATTTAATGCTAGCTTGATGGTTTTTATATTTTTCCGCCACTAGCACAGCCAATTATGTTAATATTTTAAATGATTAAATTCAGGTTAACTGCATTCCTACTTTATCATTAAATAAAAAATAGTCGTATTTTAATCGTTTTCACATTTCCATTTCACTTTTTCTTGGTAAAGTATGGGGATATGTTTTTCTTTTTTCTTTCTCTTTCATCTTCTGTTCAAGGATATGCCTGTGAAGAGCATTTTCCCCATCCCCTCGTAAATCAAAGAGAAAACGAAATCAGCATGCCACTCTTTTAAGTTTGATTGACGTCAGCTTATCAGAAAAACAACAGCTCTTTCAGACACTCAGGAGAAAAAAAAAATTTGTTCCTTCCCCACCCTTTCTCAATCTAAAGATCTTCAAGGTCAGGGGAAGAATTGAAGTTTCTCTGGGAAAACGGGGAGAAAAATTCTCCCCACAGTTTCCTCTACTCAACTTCTAAGATGAGTCAAATTTTCGTTTTTTTTTCCTTCATAATCTTTCTAGTTCAAAATGGCTGGAAAACAGAGAAAATTTTTTCATGGTTTACCGGATACTGGATAAATGGTTTTCTACTGTATTAATAAAAAATTAATACTTACAAAGAAAGGTTAAAAATGAATAAGCATGTATGGAGCATTCTTACAACTTAAATTGCAAGGAAATTGTTATTAAGCTCGAGGGAAAAAAATGCTTTGCAGAATTTTTAAATTAAAATATTTTTAGAAGGGTTTTCTTTCTTTCGTGAAATATAAGAAAAGAATGACGGCTCTAAATGTATAAAAATTTGTAACATATCAAATACAACACAGCAATTCATAAAATAATAATAGTTAATATGAAAAAATTCATTAATACAAAACTAAAATCACTACTAATTGGGAAGTTTGGAATAAATAAAAAGTATTCAATTATAACTTAAAGGCATTGTTGAATTTGAAGTGTATATTTATTACAATCCAAGAAATAAATATATAACTACTGTAAGTCTTGTTAATAGTAATAATTATAGCATTTTAAAAATAATGCAATAATCCTTAACAGGAGTTATATAATTAAAAAAAATAATAATAATGATTATACTTACTAAATGTCATCATAGACACAATTCAAAATGTCACTATCTTTGAAAATTTNTTTCAATCCCCCGCCCGATATGAATGCTGAGGATTTTGAAGCATGGATGGAGATCGACGAGAAGGTTGAGACTTCTACTTCGTTAACTGATGAGGACATTTGCGAAGCCGTATGTGTCAAAGATCCAGCTTCGTCACAAGATTCTGATGCCGATGATGAACCTGAAAGTGCTATCGAGGACAAAATTCCGACGCCTGCTCAGATGAGGGAGGCACTTCGAGTCTTACGGCTAGGTGTGCAAAACAAAGCCGACGCGGAACACTTTCATAAACATTATGATTATGAGCGATTCGTAAATGACTTGCTTCGAAAGAATGCTAAACAATCGACAATTGATGATTTCTTTTTCAGTTAATAATTAACCTTTTGTATTTTGTATTGTTTTCTGCAGTTCATCATTAAATATGTAAGTATACTAATTCTTTTTCTTTAGTGTACATTAATTTCTATTAAATACTTTAGAGTCTTACAGCAACAACTCCTAATTTAAAATAATTTTTATTTTAATACGTATGTAAAAAAAAGCATTTTTTAGCTTAATTTTTGTTTTTGTTTATTGTAATCAATCGGTTATTGTTATCAAATCATGTTCGTCCCGATGTGATCACATTAAGCGGCGTCTACTGTAGTAATAATTATTTAAGCTACTTTTAGACATAGAGGTTCCGAACATTTCAATACACTTTAGAGCAGTTTCAGATTAACTTATTAATTTCATTTGTATGATAAAATTATGACAACACAAGCCATCAATTAGCATTTTTTGATAAGTTGTTGAATATTATATGTTTGTTTGGATTTATAATTTTGAAAAATATCTTGAAAAAAAATTCATGTCAAAATAGTTCTTCTGAATCAGTTTTTGTCAGTTGAAAGAAAAGAAAAAGGACTTGTTAAAAATTTACACAGAAAACCATACAAACTAAACTTACTTATCGATAACTACTGAACATATAATTTTGTTGCTTCAATTTTTTGAAAAAAATCGATAGAAGTTCCAGAAGTAATCAAACACTGTTTTTCCTAGTGTAACAAAGCAAATCCTTCATTTTTTAAATAAAAAAAAAAAAAAAATATTAAGCTTCGAAATGATATGTTATTATAGAAAGTTTTTTAAAGTGAATAAAGCATGGTGTAAGTAAAATATCAAAAGCTTTATCTCGTGATAGCTTGGGAAAACGACTCTTAAGTAGATTAATACATTCATTCAAAGAGTAGGGGGGGGGATGAAGAAATTTTTCAAAAGAAAAGGTTCATAGAGACTTGTTCACATAATAAAGTTGATGCGAACAAACAATTGCAAGTTTTTTCAGTGTAGAGGTAATTAAAAACAACTATAAAAACAGAAAGTTCCTATTTTGTACTAAGTAATTAATATGCAATGCTTCATATACACTAAATATTTTAAGCTCTAAATAGGTACTTCTTTTCTGCTTCAGATACACCTGTCAACAATCCATTTCTGGTTATTTCATTTCCCACCTTCGACATTCTAAAGTCCATGGGCATAATTTATTTTCTTGCAAGTTTTGTTTTTCTCTTTTGCAATTAAAAAACTATCTTTACTTCTTTGTAAGCTTTTATAGAGAGATAGGTTATTTTATGATTATAATAATATGGGTTGATTCAGACTTTAAGGTGAAAGGTCCTGGCATTGGTAAATAAAGAAAAATCTTTTCATAGTTTTGAGAAGATATGACCCTATATTGTTACAATTTTTGAGATTTTGAAAATCTGGCTATTCTTTTTGTGAATTGTGAAAATCTAATATTTTTTGAATTTAAAATTAATACAGGATTAGGTTCTATCTTCCAGATTCCTGTTTTAGTAAATACGTAAAAATAAAATCCTTTTTTTTAGCAAAAAAACACAAAATTCAGATGTTTTAACAGGGTGCATAGCCAAATTTTTTCATTAAAAAATAAGCACTTTTTAAGCACTAAAAAAATATTTTCAATCACCTTCCTAAAAAAAATATTAATTAGGATCTGTGCAGTAATATTCTTAATTTATAAACATAAAATCAATAAAATTCAAAAACATTTTCAAAAAAATTTTTTTTTTATATCCTAAATAAAAAAAAGCACCTTTAAAGGCTTTGAAAAAATGCAAATCAAAAATAAGCACCTTTAAGCATTTTTTAAAAACGCTACAAACCCTATTTAAGGAGTGCTAATTTAAAAATTATGGACTTGTGATATTCGTTCCATTTTCCAAAACAATAATTTTGAGAAGGGTTTATTTTTAAAATGAAATATCTTATGAAAGTTCCATTATTAAAATAAAATAATAAGTGAAGGAACTGTTTTTATGTTAAAAATCGTGAAGAGTCCTTTTTTCCCATAAAATAATTTGTAAAAATATCTGTTGATAGATTCAAATAGCACCTGATAACTTTAACAGAACAACAAATTACATATATAGATAAATATGTAAGCGTAATAAATACTGATTGTATAGGTTCAGCTGTTTTATTGACTTTGGGTTCACCAGAAGGCTCAAAATATTTCTTAATATCTTCACCAGAGAAGGAAACTGTAAGAAAAAAAAGTCTTTTTTATTAGTACTGAACTAAGAATTAACCTTGGACAATATAATTTTAGAAAGAACAAATCACCAGGAAAATAATACATTACTTTTTCTACATAAGTAGGATACCAACATATAAGAGCATAAATAATGTTAATAGAAACAGACTACATAGCTGCCAACATGGATAGGAAAAAAATCCGATAGACTTTACATAATAATATACATTTCATGAAAATTGTTCCACAATGTACTAAGCCTTGTGACAGAATTTTTTCGAGCTATCTGCGACAAAACTCTTTAGCACTAATATCTTTCTGCAAGATACTTTTAATAATAACAAACATATACGCTGCTAATTTAAAATACAAAAGCGCTGTGTTTACACAAAAAAACTATATAATTATTTTTAATTGAACATGTAATAGTTTTTTATTCTAATATTACGGGTGATATTCTCTTATTTTGTGGAGAGGGAAGGGACTCAAATTATATCCTTCTGCGTACGCCCAGTAAATGGAAAGTTGCTAACTGACATGTGAGAGCACAGGTAAAGATCCAAAATCCAAGTTATAGATAGATAATATAGCCAAAAATAAAGCTGATACCACATAATTAATTCTAAATTTTAAGTTTGACTCCAACTTAATAAACCAAAAAGACAGTTGAAATTTAATACACACTGTAACCAAAACATTTTTGTGGTTATAGAAATAAAGTAGTTTAAAGAAAAATAAAGTTAAAAATAGATTTTGATATTCAATTTCTGATTTAGTAACGACATTGAATTAATGAGTTATGCATTTGTATTGAATTAAAAAGTTAGTCTTTACATTGATTGTTAAGAAAAGAATGTAAGTTATTTAATTTAATTCTAATAGAATTAAGAATGATTATAAAAATTAAATTAAGGAAATAAAAGAAATTTTAAAAGCTAGGAAATATGTAATGCCTGTAATGGCATTACAATCATCCCTTACTTAACTTATTGAATTATAAGGTAAATCTATTCTTAATTATTGTTAGAAAAGCACATGGTATTTTAAAACGAACTTAGCAGTAAATAAAATATTAAAGTAATAGAAAGTTGACTTTCAAACCATATTGAAACCATTCATTTCAACTTTTGCTAATCCAACAAATATGCTAATTTTTTAAAAAATTTTCTGTAAATTAAAAAATGTAGTTTATGTTTAATTAAAATGTCAAATGTAGATTCACTAAAAATAAAATATAGATGTCATAATCAATTTAGCTTTTAATGTATGAGTAAAGTTCAGCTTTGGAGTATGGATATTCTAATTAATAGAATTAGCCGCTTTATAAAATCAAAGGTTCTTAGAATGAGTGTGATATTAATAGACAGCAAACAATAAATTAACAGTAAAATTGCCTTTTTTTAAAAATTTACATGTATTTATACACCTTTAAAGCTGATTTTAGTTAACATAGACATTCATTCGGTCTCTGCTGATTTAAATAAGACACAGTAATAAATGCTTAACTTGTAATTAATGCTCCAAGATGAGAATTCACTTAAAACACATTGTAGCTGTTTTCACAATTTCATGATTTGTCCACTTTTAAGTTAGGACAATTATTTTCAATTAGAGAGTATACAAAGTTTTAAATATTAATTAATATATACTATTATTATAATTAATTACGCATTTGTTAAAAAAAGAACATTAATTTTAGTTTAAGGCACTCACGAACTCTGGCAAAAAGAACTACAAAGGACACCCTCAAAAAGGTGTATAATAATTCTTTAACAGAAAAAAAATCCCAAGCATATTTGCGATATTTCAAATTATTGCTTACCATAATACCGAGATCTTTTGGGGCTAAATGACATGAAAACATTCTTTTTGTGTTTCGTTTCTTCATCACACCGTATTTGTCTTTGCAGCAAATTAATCCTTTCAGCCCAGTCAGATGGATCAATTTCATCTAAGGTTATACGCATAATTGAATTAATGATTACAGACATTAATATACTGATGAAAAGACAAAATGTTAAACTGAAATGTTAGAATACAGGTTTAGCACAAATGAATGAACTAATTTTAAATATTCATATTTTTAAAACTGTTGCACACATTTCAATAAATGATACATGAAATTAATGAAAAAATATACCATTTTTCTTTATTTAAATTATTGCTGTGTTTTCAGCATTGGTGGTTTAAAGACATGTCTTTGACATATTACATTGCAAAGAAATTACATGGCATAAGATTCCGCTATCTTGGTGATAATATGATCAAAGTTAAATCACTGTTCTTCTTAAGCATTTTTAGAAGGGCGACCCACCTATGATGAGCCACCTTGCTCTATTTTTGTAAAAATAAGCCGCAATCCCTTGAAGACACTGCCTTTTTATTGATATTCCATGAAAAAAATTAATTCACCATTTAAATAATAGTTACACACGTGAAAAATTGTCTGCGTCTATAGGTTAAATTCTGATAACTATTACAAATCTTTATTTTGTTAATATTAACCTCAACTGGTTAAATTTTAGAGTTTCTCTTTTTTTGAGGGGAAAAGGAATGGATTATTAATGAATTTTTTAAGTGATTTTATCCTTTAAATTTAAAAAAAAAATCACCTTTAAATGTTTATTGTCTCATAATTTTCAGTTTAAATTATAGAAAAAAGCTTCTAAGTTGTTTATCAATAAATCATTTTTTTAGTTTACTTCTTTTGAAAAGATTTGTGCACAGCTATTGTCCTTTAGGAAGTTTTTAATTATTTTTTATAAACTACAAATTCTCTTATTTTGATAGTGTGTATTAAGTTATGAAATACGCACATAAATTAGTATAAGAGGGTAGTTTAAAAATTGTTGAGGATCAAATTCAAATGTTACAAAATTTGATACATTTTTGCAGTCTTAAGTGAGTGCCCTTTCAAAATTCAAAGTGCTCTTTTTTTGTGAGGAAATACACTCTTTTTATTCCTAGGGAAAACTCTGGTTATATCCCTTATTTCCTACATGACCTAGACCAACAATGGAACCTTTTTGAGAAGTGGGTTAAATGTTGTTCATTTTTTTTAATATTAGCCTGTGGTCAAGTTGGTTGCATCATTTGAAGGGGAAGGTCAAATAAAGTACTAATGATTAGAAAACACTGAAGACTTGGTACTAAACAGAGAAACTTGAGTTTTGATCTTTTTTTTATTGCTCCAACATTTAAAATTCTCTAAAAATTATATGCTCTATACGTTAAAATTTTGGTGTTCTTAGAACTTTTCCTTTTCAAAGTGCAGAGAAAAAACAAAAGTGATAAAAAAACAATGGATAATAAAATCACAAAAATAAATTTAATAAAGGGGAAAAAATGAAATAAAAGTAAGCTTGATATCATACTGTGCTTAGAATTCAGCAATATGGCTGTCCAAAATATAAGCAATAGTTAAGTTTGTTGCTAACCATCACAAGGGACTGCAGTGGTATACACTAAGAAATCACTTGGGTAACTTTCACTAAGAGAAATTTTATAAATTTGACATTTCATATTTATAATTTAAATTTTTTTCATATTTAAAATTGCTTGTTTATTTTTCTGTAATAAATTGTTGTAATTCTAACCTGTAATCTGTAGGTCAAACATTATCTTCGTGGGATAGTGTTTGACCTGCAGATTACAGGTTAACCACCACTGTTCTAGACATTATATAAGGAAAAAAAAAAACACACACACACACACACAGATGCTGAGAACACAACTTGAATGCATTTAAGAAGCATTAGAACAGTGGGAAGTTAAAAGAGGCCTAGAATAAGCTTAATAAAAATGTTGTTCTTGCTGTTTCTAATGCCACTTGCCACACGGGCAAACCTGCTTGGTGAAACTGAGCAAATTTAAGGCAGAGTGTGCGTTTCTTGCTTTTCAGTGGCGCCATCTATGGCTAAGAACTCGACTTCTGCCACACCATATGTCGCACCTGTTTATAGGGCGGACCCATTCATACATCTACAGATTGTAATTTTGACCTGAATCAGAGAACGATCGATCTCCAACCCAGTACCCCCCCTGAGGTATTGATTAATAAAAATAGATTTACAGATAAAAGAAAACTTAAAAATTTGAATTTAAAAAAAAGGAGAAGGGTAAACATACAATAAGTGGCATCCACATCACTGAAGTTGTTGTAACATTTCACAAGCTCACTGGAGTCAATACACTGAATAAAAGTAGTCAATAAATCACTGGTGTCCACAGAAGACTGATTTTCACAAGTACCTAAACAATGAAGGGGGGATTGTAAAAATTTAGTATGTTCATAACGGCAGATAAAAATGAAAAAAACAAAGTACATAGCTGCCAACTTGGATCAGAAAAAATCCAGAAGAATTAACAAAATACTAATATAATGCTAAATGTTTTACATATAGGGAATTTTAAGAATTTCTATTACTACTATCAAAATACAAAAAACTTTATTACACTAACGGTCTGCAATAATTTTCATTTATGATTAACATTATATGAACTTGAGATATTTTTTATTATGGTAACCACATAATTTTAAATCGTAATAGTCAAGTAATTCATTATTGATAATTAAAAGATTTTTTTAAAATTAATTCTGAATTAAAATAAACTGAAAATTTTGTAACAAAAGAAAAGCTTTAAGCTGATTATTATAAATGGGAATTACTTAATTATTAATTATACTTATCCAAATATTCAAGCAAACAATAAATTGAGCAAAAATACTAATTAGATAGGGATTTTATTTTTTAGAAAACTTACACTCAATTTAAGGAATTTTCTAAAATTTATAAAAACCATAAGAGTTTTTATTAAACCAGGCAAAATACTGTAGTCTACTGGTAAGTTGACAGCTATGAAAGTAGATTTTCTAAATTAATATGAATTATTGTAATATCTCAAATACCACTGCTAAATCTAAAATAAAATGTATAACTTATATTACAACACTAAAGGGTATAAATTTAAATTGACAACAAAAAATTTTTGGTTTGCAATGGGCATTAAATGGATTTGAAGAGAAAATTTTTCTATTATGTTTATTACATTTTTTAATTCCTAATATTAAAAATCAATAAGCATTTATTTTAAATAAATATTTCAATAATTTTGAAAGGTACTTTTTTCAGAAACATTCAAAACTTAAGGTATTTCCGAAACTACAGAAGAGAAAAAAATGGGACAGAATTCAATTCAATTAGGTGATTAGATGAATCTGAAAGAAGACAACCAACAAATTGAGTAAAAAATCTAGTTTTAAAGGGAAAGAAACTTTACCAATTTTAAAGTATTTTTTAAATATATATGTTACCGTTAAAGTGTGCAATGAAGTTATTTCAGAGAATAACTGGGTATTTCATGATATAACTAGACAAGTCGGTTAAAGTATATAACAGATGAAAAATTTTATACTTTAACTTAAGTTATTTTATGAAATAATTACCGTAATTTCACAGAGATACAGTGCATTCAATTTGATTGAAAAAGAAAAATTTTGAAAGGCCACACCATATAGGATATGCTGCACAAAATTTTACTGCATGATTGATTGCGGAATTATCGCATCTGTTTCAAATAACAAGTAATATACAAAATAAATTATGAGATGTTTAAAAATCATTAAAATAATTATTATATACACCATAAATTAATATATGCGATCTTACTTAAAATCAGAAATTACGTATTTCAATAATTTTCATCATAACTTTTAAAAATTGTACAGCGAACAATACAAATACAACACATTCCCAAATGCATTAAGTTAACAAATATATCAACTTAAAATACTCCAATTTTATGAAAACCAAGTGATTAAGAACCTGAACATAATTACCAAAATACAATAAATTGATGAAAGGAATCTTACCAGGCGCTAAATTATACCATATCGAATATTTATAAAACGGACTGTTAGGAGCATGGGAAGAGATCCATGGTTAGCGATCTATTGAAAGATAAAAAAAAGCCAAAAACAAAACCCACCCCCTTAATCAATATTAAATTTAAAATAATATAAAAGCTAATAAATAAATATAGATAATTGTAATAAAAATAGCTAATTGCCAAAAAATAAGAACTAATATAACCCTATGATTGAAAAATTTTTGTGGTAAGAAAAATGAAGAGTTAAAAATAGATTTTGATGTTAGATTCAGTCATGACAGATTCGCATTTGATGAATTAATGAGTTTTACATTTGTATTGAAATAAAAAGTTAACCATTACATTGATTGTTAAGAAAAGAATAAAACATTTATACTTAAGTTTTATAAAATGTAATAAAAATTAAATAATTGGCTTAATTTAATTAAATCAATTAAGATTGATTAAAAAAAAACAAATGTAAGAAATTTTAAAAACTTGGAAATATGTTATGCCTATTATGGTATCACAGGAAGAATGAATTTTTATTTCATTTTGATATTTTATTTTTCATGGGCAGTTTAGTTAAATTACTTCATAAAGATAACGAAAATATTAAATCTTTTTTGGATTGGGTGTATAGATAGGTAAAGGTTTCAAACATCATTACTGACTAAGAAAAAAGTCGCGACTCGGGGAGCACCCTGACTCTTCTATGGCTTCTATTCAGAAAGAGTAGGGGTTGCAATAAAAACATTTATATCAATTTCTTTTATTATTCCACAGGACTGTCTGAATTTTCTTTGAACCCTGTTAAAACGATTGGGCACATTCTACAGCCCTGAACCAAGATTTCACCAAACATCTTTTGGAAATTGTTGATCAGGAGAATTTATAGGAATGAAATTGACAGTTCATCATCATCATCATAGTTGGCTAGATAGTCTAATACCTTCCTCTGAATACCTCTACAACAACATCAAACTTATCTTTGATCTCCAATTCTTTTCATTGATTGCAAGAAAATCAGACTCCACAGAGTCAGCCCATCTCAACCACGGCCTTCCCTGCTTTCTTGCTCCAGCCGGTCTAAGAAAAGTATATTTTTTATTGTATTGTCATCACTCACTTATTGAATCATGTGGGCCATCTAATTCATTCTATTTCTTTTCCTGTATTTAATAATATCGGGTTTTTTATAGATCTTGCTCAGTTCAAGGTTAAATTTCCTTCTCCAGTTATTGTTTTCATTTACACCACTAAGTATACTCCGCAAAATCTTGTCTGAAAAATATAGTGATACAACTTTCCTCCAGTTTTGCCATTGCTCAAGCTTCAGAAGCGTGTGTCTAGACTGGCCTGACAAGAGTTTTGTAAATTAAGAACTTTGTTTTTCTAGAAAGAAACCTAGATTTAATAATTCTTCTCAACCCATAGACAGTCCTATTTGCCAGATAGAGTCGGTTTTTTATTCCAGGTGACATTCTCTTATTAATATAATAATTGATCCTCTGTAATAACTGATGTAATTCTGTAATAATTTATTCTATGTTGTAATTCTGTAATAATTGATCCTAAATAAGTAAAACTCCTTACTTTTATCCCCTATATTGAAATATAAAATTGACAGTTAAGAAATAAAAAATCAACAAGCTTACCAGATTCGTCTGAAGCTGCATGCAAGCGTATAGCTTCCTCTACTGTAGACAAAAATGTTGTCTTTGAAATAGAAGGTACTAAGTAATCTGTCACTTTCGTGCCAGACGTGAGAAGAGATTGCCTATTTTGAGTACTGACTGCATTAAAGAAAAAATGAGCATCCAAGTGTGTAGAATCTCTTACAACGTAAGCAGACATGCAGTTCGAGTTCGGAGATGGAACAACAACCAAAGTAAGATGTTTGTCAACAAAAGGGAAACAACTCTCAGGATCTAAAACAGAATGCATACTTTTATGTAAGTCCCATAAGCAATGACTAAAATATTGAATTTTTTTTTTAACTATCTTAAGACAATTTTTTATGCTGAAATAAATATTTTTATATAGAATATGCAAAAATAACTGCAACAAACCTTTAACATATATTTCTTAAATAAAAAGAATTAAATAAAAATAAACAACAAATTATAGTAGTAGCCTTTAATGAGAGCTTGGTTAATGTTATCAACTACAGTAAAACCTCGCTACAACAATATTTTGGGGACCAAATAAATATATGGTTGTAGAGGGATATATTATTATATCGAGGGCCTACATATTTTTGGGACACAATAAGGCTTTTTTTAATGTTATATATGTGTTAACTATAAACCTATTTACATATTATGTAAAAATTTAATTTGCAGAGTGTTAATTATTGTTAAATATGAAATCGGACAGGAATGTCACATCTGTGACTTCTTAAGAGATAAGGGTGGCAATTCTAAGAATAGAAGGTCTTGGGGTGGTCCATGTACATCAAGAATGGGGTATTCAAGTCTGAATACAAAAGCCATTCACTGTGGTGAAAAGAAATAAGTACATAATCAGCAGTGAGTCTTCTCTTGTCAGAAAAGACCGAAAAAAATGGCAAAATATGATAAGATTTTTTACATTATTTGAAAACCAATAATAAATAGAGAAAATAAGGTTAAAATTTAGAACAAAATCTTTTCACAGGGGTTTATTGATTCAGAGAATATTGCAATATTGAGAGGAGGATAACATTAATTCATATTCAAGTTTCTCGGGATCACGAAACATTATTGTAATAGTGGGAGTTATTGTTGTAGCGGATATCAAAGTAGTGAGAGTTCACTGCATTAATATATTGCTATCAAAACCACTGTTAAAATTATTGCTTCTGGTCTAGATTTTTTCTATTCACTTACATGTTAAAATAATTGCTTTCTGTTATCATTACATTGTTTAATGGCATCAGTGTTTTTATTAATTTTTTGGAAAATCATCTTAACTGTCAAAGAAATCGATGTTCTAAAGGAGTCTTATTCCCCCCCCCCCGGCTAAATTGTTTGAATTTCCAAGGTTTCTCCCTATTTCACCTGTAGGCAAATCGTGAAACCGGTGTTAATAACATGCTATCTTATACATCGTGTCTCAGAAGAATCTTATCTGAACAGAGAATGAGCGTAACAACTTTTTACAGGGTTTCCCACTCAATTTCAGAAGAAAAAAAATTGTGAATTTCACCTATGGGACATATTTATGTATATGAGAGGGAAAATACAGCTACTAGCTGCAAATGGCAATATTATTTATACTACACTTACATAAAATCAAATTTAATAAAGATTTTTATTAAATGAATCATTAATTGTAGAACAGAAAAGAAAGATGAACAAGTAACATTATAAATACATTTCACATTGCCAGAGGAAATTATTTTCAGCCATCTACTTGTACTTAATAATTTATCAGGCTTTGGTTTTTCCTTCAATACGGAATATCCCATCCTTAGAATTAGGGCAGCCTAATAAAAAAAATTTTTTTTTTTAATTACATACATAGACAAAAATACAGCTAGAAAAACAATTACAACCAAATTAAATAGATGGTAACTGAACCTTAAAATACTAAACTATCATTTTCATAATTTAGTGATGAAAATAGATTTTAAAAAAATGATACATTTATAGTCTGAATATATTATTTAGATAGTTGAGAAGGTTGAAATTCCACAATTTTTTGATTTCAAAATCTCCCAGATTCAGTATTCCATCTTAAGTTCTGCTTTAAGTATTTTGAAAGTTAATAATGTCACATAGGTTTCATTAAAAAGAAAAAACTGGTGCCTAAACAAGTCTCACTAGTTGCATTGTTAAAATTTTTTTAAGCTTACGAAGAATTTTTTGTTTCAAATTGAATGAGGAAATGCATTTATTGCGAATCATATAATTGTGAACTGCAAAACAAAAAACCTCAATCATAGTGTCACGGATTTAATATTATTTATATAGTGCTTGAATAAACTTAAAGTAATTAAGCTGGTAATTAAAAACAAGAGCCGTAACATTATTAATAACTAATAATGTTAAATAAGCTTCATAAAAAAGAAAAAGCTGATGCCTAAACAAGTCTCATTAGTTGTATAGTTAAAATTTTTTTTGAGGATGAATAATTTTATGTTACAAATTGCATGCATGAATGTATTTATTGTGAATCACAAAAACGTGAACTGCAAAACAAAAAACTTTTATCATAGTGTCACGGATTTAATATTATTCAGATGGTCCTCGAATAAATTTAAAGTAATTAAGTTGGTAATTAAAAACGAGTGTCATAAAATTATTAATAATTAATAATGTGACATAAGTTTCCTAAAAAAGAAAAAACTGATACCTAAACAAGTTTCACTAGTTGTATTGTCAATTTCTTTTTACGATGAATAATTTTATGTCACAAATTGCATGCATAAATGCATTTATCGTGAATCACAAAAACGTCAACTGTAAAACAAAAACCTTATACATAGTTTATCTATTTGAAAAGGCAAAGAGTTAATTTATGATTGCTGCTTAAAATCACACTCTGGATATATTGGAACAAAGTTCATCACATGCAGAAATAAGTAAAAAAAGAGAAGAAATAAATGAAATGAAATAAATGTTCTATTTGTTTTGATTATAAAATGGACATAAAATGCTGAAATGAAAGAGAGTTATAAATTAAAGCAATAACTTAATATCAATAATTTGCTACATTACAGAGGGGGAATATGCAATTAAAACTATATAGTAGACATTTAATTAACTAAGGATAGTCAGGAAATGTTATGTTTCGGAAACGCAAATATTCCAAATTTTTATAAAAAAATTATAGAAAATTATTATACTATGAAACATCATTAGTTTAATTAATTCAAAAGTAAAAGAATTAATTATAAAAATTATTATTAATTATAAAGAATTATTATTAAAGCATCTTATTTAGATTCCACAATTTGTATAATTAAAAAGAAAAACATTCGACAAATTTTAATACAAAGATTTCCTAACATCATTTTCTTTTTGGGTGGCTTCAGATAATCGGATCCCGGTTAGTTGAGAGTCTACTGTAGTTTAATTTTTAAAGACATATTTATTAAAAATAAACTATCTAAGTAGTAAAATTCAACAGAGGTAGATTTATGTTTTATTAATATTTACTTACATCATTTTTCTCTTTGATGTTGGCACAAAGCTTAACAGAACTATGATAACAGCTGTTTTCTGAAACACATCTATGACTAGTAAAGGAATCAGTTCACTATTTATTGAAATAAAATATTTGTTTAACAGGGTGAGTAGCCAAATCTTTTAACAAATAATAAGCACCTTTTAAGTACTTTTTAAGCACTCAAAAAATATTTTTAAGCACTATATACATTAACAAAATGCAAAATAATTTTCAAAGACTTTAGATAATCATGATAAAACAACTAGTTTCTGACAAAGAACTCCTTTTCTTGATTAAATCAATCTTTATAAAATGATCGAGAGATTTTTCGGTTTGATATCAGAAGGTGGAAAATGAAGTCTGGAATTGAGAATATCTTGCTAAATGCAGCAGAGTTGCACACGAGAGTGCAATAATCTCATCGAATCCAGTAAGTAGGCGCACATACGGACCGGCAAGTATTTCATCAAACATGTAAAATGATTGGTGTTTTCATATGCTATGGTTCGACGGTTCGCCGAAATGGATTGTTTTTGAATGAATTGTGAAAACGTTGAATAGAACAATGTGAAAAGCATGCTTTTGCATAATACGTTGCAAAAATTAACATGGTAAAAAAAAATCTCATTTTCGAAAAGGGAAAATTAAGCACTTCTTAAAAACACCCAATGAAAAAAGCACCTTTAAGGGCTTTTAAATAACGAAAATCAAAAATAAGCACCTTTAAGTACTTTTCAAAAATGCTAGGCATCATGTTAATTACACAACAAAAGACAATTAATTGCGTGCAAATCTGTTGGCACCTCCAACAAGTTTTTTTTCTTTGCTTTTATATTGATAAAAATTATCTAGCTCTGATGCATGATATAATTTCTAAAAATATTTTAAGAAATAGAGAAAGTGGACCTCAAAGAAAAGTTCATTAAATAGAAAATTCACTCAGCCATTTGGAAGTTATTTAACGAAGAAATTTCCAAAATAGAAGATCGTTAAATGAAAGTCGCTGTATTTTAGAATGACGCTGTATTTTAGAATTTATTAATGCAATCTAAAAAAATATAATGAATTGTGGGATTTCAGTTGGAACTAAACTAATATTTAAAATGAAATATAAGTAACAAATACAGTTAGATATTTCAAAATAAGCATAATAATTATTGTCAAACAAAGTTTAGTCTAGTCACTATTATTAAGCTAAGTTTAATAATAGTGGTTTTAGGGAATAAATCCTTCCGTCCTCAGTCCAAAACCAGCTAAGGACACAAACAAATTTCAATCTTAATATAAATGTAACAGAATTTGAATATTTTCAAGCTACATTTGCAAATAATAATTTCCATTTTCTATAATAAGACACACACACACATATATATAAAGGATACAGATTGAAAACAACAGGTAAAATCAGATGTTGAGGTACAGAAGAGAAGCAACACAGATCAGTTACTTTTAAAACAGGATTAAAAAGCAAATACTATAGTACAAAAAAAAAGAAAATTTTTTAAAAAATAAAATAAAAATTAAGGATTTATGGTATTCTTAAACAGGGTGCGTAGCCAGATTTTTCAACAAAAAATAAGCACATTTTTAGTATTTTTACAGCACTCAATTTTCTTTAAAATCACTTTCCAAAAAAAAAAAAAAAANAAAAAAAAAAAAAAAAAAAAAAAAAAAAAAATTCAGAATTAGGTGCAGTAATAAAAATTATTTTCTTCTATTGCTTAAAGTTCTTAATTTATTAACATAAAATCAATAAAATTCAAAAACATTTTCAAGAACTTTATATGATCATGATAAAACAACTAGTTTCGGTTAAATATTGCAGATGTAATCATGCATTTTTTGTAATTTAGAACGACAGTCGATACGTCAAAGAAAAAAAAATCTTTTTAAAAGAAAGAAAATATATGCACATTTTACAAACCCCGAATAAGAAAAGCATCCCTTAGGGCTTTTAAAAAACATAAATAAAAAATATGCACTTTTCAAAAACGCTGCACACCCTGCTAAAATAATAAAAAAACATTTATAATTTCTTGTTGATAATAAAGAACCTCGTTTTAAATCAGTTAAATAAGCCCCCCTTTGAAATAGCTCCAGATATAGCTAAGAAATCAATGCTATTTAATAAATTAAATTATTAGAATTTTTTATAGATTATAATTGTTTTATTATATATTAACAGTTTTTTCATATGAATATAAAATAAGATTTTATACTTCACAGAAAATAAAAGACTGCAGTTATTTTAAGTTTTCGAAAAACTCTTACAATTTATTTTTCTTTCTAATTGTCTCTTTTAAGTTTACATGAACTTAAAAAAGATATATTAAATAGCTAAGAAATCAATGCTATTTTATAAATTAGATTGCGATTATAAGCTCTTAAAAAAAATGTTCTTCTAAAAACAGTTTCTTTCATTTGGTTTGAAAGAAACTAATTTCCCTAGGGCAGTTAATTTTAAAGTGTTCTCCATAGTGAAAGAATTGATTCCTTTGTTTTGATTCTTGATTGAAATTAGCTAAAAAAGTTTTTTTAACGCTGGTCATTGAGCCGTGATGGCTCAGGGCATAGAGCGTTTGTTTTCCAATGAGGTGAACCGGGTTCTAATCCCAGCAATGGCTGGTCGATACAAAACCGCATCCGGCTAGCACCGACCACAGTGCTGACTGAAATATCCTTAGAGGTAGACGGATCATGGTTAGAATCCCTTTGCCGTCAGGCTAATCGTGGGAGGTTCTCGTGGTCTTCCTCTCCACGTAACACAAATGCGGGTTAGTTCCATCAAAAAGTCCTCCAAGAGGGCAAAGTTCTTCCAATACTTGATCCAAGAGTTCCCTTGTCTTCTGGATTGGTTCAAAATTACAAGGCTATGGAGTTAATTAGTAGTCGCAAACCCCAAAAATTGGGTTGGCTGTTCAACAGCAGTTATAAAATAAAAAACACTGGTCATGTAGGTTATTTCAATTAAGTAGATAGAAAGGCCTTTTCAAGACTGAGGGGATGCACATTGATTCCTAACATGTTTTTTTTCCTTGAATGATAAATTTCTTTTGGAAGATTCTTTTACTTGGTATAATGCATTAATATAGATGACATTGCATAAAGCAACAAATATAATCAATTGAAAAAAAGCCATCATACTCACTTCAGATGTGCTGATGTTAAAAACAAATTTTAAATATTGAAGAATTTCCTTGCTTTCTGAATCGATTCTGAGCTCAAACCCATTATAGCACTGTGTTGATATCTAAAAATAAACAAAATTAACAACAAACAGGTATGTCGAGCAACAAAACAGGATGATTCCACAGTAAGATCAAAAAGATGACTAAAAGTTTAAACTTAATAATTTTAAGTAAACAAGGCAACAAAGTAAGTTTGTATATATTAATTTATCGTGCATTTAATAATTATTCTTTAAACGTTTAATCATTTATTTCGTATATAACTAAATATTTGAAACAGATGCGTTAACTCTGTGATCGATCACATTAAAAATTCATGCAGCATAGCCTTTTTGATGAAAAAAAATGTTCCTTTTTAGTCAAATTTTATGGGGGTGGCGTATCTTCGCGAAATTACATTAATGAAATAGTTAAAGCTAACATTGACGGCTTAAATAGATTGCAAAGATTACATATCAGTATTAACTGAATTTTCAAACCACTAATATTACAACATTGAAACAAAAAGCAGAACATATAATAACACTGAAACAACTTACTGGATTAAAGTGGATAAAGAATACAAAGTAATAGTGTTAAACTATTGGTTTGTAAAATCAAGTAAAACTGTGAACATATATAAACTAATTCAAATTTATATTCAACCAGTAATATTACAGAAATGAAATGACCAAAATATCATTAAATGATACTCAATACCTAATTAGATCGAAATTCAAAATTAATAGCAACAGCTCACGCAAAGAAACAATTGAAGTTAGGTTAATTATGTGCATGAAACGAAACTATCAATATTAAGTAAATAAAACAAATAAAATAAAAGTCTTAAATAATAAATTATTTAGCAGATTGAATTGGATTGACAATAAAAAAAAAAACCTTGGTAAAATGCATAGTCAAAAGGCAAGAAGAATGGAAGCAGGAATCGAAAGGAGAAAGAAAATAGCGAAACACCATGCTCGATTGTGTGGCTCTGATGACCTTTTTTTTCCTTCTCTTTCTTGACGAACATGTTTCATCCACTTCCAAGAACAATATCTTGCAGATGTTAGTTTGAATTTCCATTCAAGCTTTGTATCTTTTCCTTGTCCCAAAATTTTTGTTTCGCTTTGTGCAATTGTTTTAAGGAGTAACATATTTTTTCCAAATCCACAGAACACAAACAGACATTAATTATTCTCAAGTTGTAAATTGGATCTTTTTGCACACTTGAATTGACTTGGTACAGTCCCTCAATCAAAAACATGCCTTATCTTGCTATATTTTAATTTTAAAAAAAATATTAGTCAAAAACGAGAAAAATATACCCTTTTCCGAGCAAATTGATATCGGTCCACTATTTAATAACGCTTTTGTAAAAGTTTATTTTTGCTTAAATCCACATTGATCATAGAATTCTAGCGCGAATCTCGCGAACAAAAATGAAATCACGGGACACAATAATTTAACTTTTAAATATAGATAGGGCACAGCATATCCAGGAAAATTACTGTAATAGAGATGTATAGTAAAAATGTGTACTGACTGGTAATATCTTGAGTTACCAGGTTGGTTTTTTGAACCAATGACTACATGTACTTAACTCTTATCCCTGAACTAAATAGATAAACGCTAGTTAACTATATATAATTTTTAGAGAACGGCTTAAGAGAATGAAATGATATATGCTGTGATAACAAAAAAAACTGTTATATATATGCTGTGTCAAAAAAAACAATAATTTTCTTAATTGAACTTGTATTAATTTTTTATTCTAACATCATGGGTGACATTCTCGCATTTGGTTGGGGGGTAAACGCAAAGATTATTTACGTCTTCACATTTAGTAAATAACCATCACAATAAAAAAATTATTGAATATCATGAAATCCGTAGTAGTAATTTAAAAAAAAAAGATCTGTGACGAAATTATGTACATTGGACTCCTCAAACGAGTGTTTCGTTTCGAGATTACGTTGTTGTAATAAATAATATAATATAAAAAATATCAGACATAAAAACTATGGAGAAATCAATAGCAATAACTGCCAAAAATGCGATAGAACTATTGCCTTAAAAAATAAATACTCAAATACACAATTCAAATTTTCCATTGTTTGAAATATATCGGGATGTTTAAAAACCATGTGAAAATCAATATCAATAACTGCCGAAAACACAATCGAAACATTACATCGATTTACGATACTATCAGAGTAAATTTAGAGCTTCAAAAAGTGATCACCTGAATGAGTGATTCAAATATAAAACGTCAATTTCTGTAAAAAATAAAAAAAGTTTTCTGCAAGAACTATGTAAAGTTCTGAGACAACCTCGCTGTGTCACTGCAATTCTGCCACGGGGGTAATGAATATTTAAAAAACAAGCAAATAAAGAATTTGTCATGAGTGATATTTTGTTGCCTTTTTTCAGAAACAACTTTGCTGCAACTTACACCAATATCCTTGAATTCAATTGATCCCCTCCAAAAGGGCAGAGTGAGCTTGGAGAAACTATTAACATTAATTTCTTCAGCATTTGTGAGGTCCAACCATTCCTTGACATTTGAGTCTGTTTTACGAGAGAGCCAAGATGTGTGAGCAGAATGCCATTTTGATAATCGATGCAAAGATGCAGCAAATTGCACATTATCACTAAAATAGACAAAAAGAAAGTAAACAACTTGTCAACTCAATGTTCTCATCACAGGGTTGCCACTCAAATCTGGAAAAAAAATTCACTGGTAACATATTACAGGGTGCACAGCCAAATCTTTCAACAAAAAAATAAGCACCTTTTAAGCACTTAAAAAATATTTTTAAGCCCTATATACATTAACAAAATGCAAAATAATTTTCAAAGACTTTACATGATCACGATAAAAATAACTAGTTTCTGACAAAGAACTCTTTTTCTTTATTACATTAGTCACCATAAAAAGAGAGAGAGATTTTTCGGTTTGATTTCAGAGGGAGGAAAATGAAGCCGAAAATTGAGAATATCCTGCAAAATGCAGCAGAGTTGCACATGATAGTGCAAGAATCCGGCTCAGTAGATGCACACGCGGACCCGCAAGCATTTCATCAAACATGTAAAATTATTAGTGCTTTCACATGCTGCGGAACGACGGTACGCCAAAATGCATTGTGTTTGAATGATTTGTGAAAACGTTGAATAGAACAATGTGAAAACCATGCTTTTGCACAATAAGTGGTCAAAATCAACATGGTAAAGAAAAAAAAATTCTCACTTTCAAAAAGGGAAAATTAAGCATTTTTTAAAAACACCCAATAAAAAATAGCATCTTTAAGGGCTTTTAAAAATCAAAAATAAGCATCTTCAAGCACTTTTTAAAAAAGCTATGCACCCTGTACATAATATATTAAGAGAAAACACACTATCACTGTGCTCTTGTGTGAGCTACATTGTTCTAATTATACTAGTTTTAATTGTTGGCAAAACTTAGAGAAAAAAGGTACAGCTGAACATATTTTAAATCAAATAATGCAATGAAATAGTTTTATACAGCTGAAATATCATCCTTAAATATCCCATAGATCCCTGTATTTACAGAGTTTGTAAAGAAAAACTCAAATTTCCGTGTTATTTTAGCTGATTTATAAGTTCTCTGTATTTTTCAGGCTTTTCCTCAGGAATGGCAACCCTCTGTCAGTAGTTAATAAAAGATACTATAAAAATAAAACAACTTTCTTACGGGCTATGAGCCCCAAAGAGCGTTTAAGTGAAACATCTCCCCAGAACTAGTGAATCACATCAAAAAAACTGATATTAGACCCAAAAAGTTATCATGGCTTAGACTCTAGACTTCATTCATTTAAATCACTATTTGTACCATTTCTATAACCAGTTAACATATAAGCTCATTTAATAGTAAATCAACAACAGGAAAACATAAGAAAGCTATGTTCAAATCTGACAAAAATTTAAAATTCGTATTACCTGACACTGAAATTTTCAAATACGTTACAGCCAACTATGACATCAAGAACAAATGTTCCTAGAAACAAAATTGTTTTGGATTGTTTTATAAATCATAACAACATTCCAAAAATGGTTTACGTTATTAGATAGCAAATAAAATTTCAGCTTATTACATGCATAAATGCAAACAAAAAATTATACAAAATATAGTAGTTTTTACAATGTGTAAAAGCCATAATATTTTAAAGAAAGGAGCACAATAGCCTTTGAATAATTACTTTTTTAATGAAAATATAAATCAATTAACCACTTTCTTTTTTACACAGGGAAAAAGATTAGGAAAAAACCTTGTCAGAAAAGCTTTTTTAAGCATCATTATGGAAAGGAATGACCAAGAAACGAAAAATTATAGAAACATACAATCTAGTCTAAATTTAAAAATAAAGATAGATCAAAAATTGTGTAAAACCGAACTTTCGAGAAGGGGGGAGTGGAGTGCTACCTTAAGCAGTAAAAATAAGTAAATAGTAGTAACTTTTAGTAAGCAGTAAAAATGATAGTGTTTTTAAAAAAAAATTTCTAGCAATTTTCAAGTTTTTTCACCTTTTTAAAATGATGCAATAAAGGTAACTTAGAAGCCTTCTCAGTAAAGATTTTATTTAAAATTACAATAATCAATTAAAGAGTCGTGGTGGCTCAGGGGATAGAGCGCTCACATACCAAAGAGGAGAATTGGGTTTGAATCCCAGCCATGGCGAATCGAAAAGAATTTTGCATCCGGCTTGCACCGACCACCATGCTGACATAAAATATCCTCAGTGGTGGACGAATCATGGTTTAGACTCCCCTTGCCGTAAGCCTAACAGTGGAAGGCTTTCGCAGTTTTCCTCTCCATGCAACGCAAACGCGGGTTATTTGCATCAAAAAGTGCTTCCAGAAGGAAAATTTTTCCCAATACTTGATCCAGGAGTTCCTTTGTCTTTTTGGAATGGGTTCAAAATTACAAGGCTATGGAATTGAACATTGATAGTCGTAAACCCTAAATTGGGTCGACTGTTCAATGCAGGTTATGAAATAAAATAATCAATAAAGCATACCAGGAAGAGGTAAGAGATCAGCAAGACTGTTGATGCACTCTGCAATTGAACTTGAGTCATATCTTAAGAGAAATAAAAACACATTTTAGGATTAGAATACCAAAACGATCATATCACACAAAAATAAAGCAAAGAAGCATAATTCTGAGGATCTAGGTGTTATGAATATGTTGTGCTAGAACTTATTATTTAGTGTTTTAATATTGTTGTATTAAAAGATGACACTGTCATTATAATTTTATAAAATTTTAAGTAAAAGAGTAAAACTTAATTTTATAATTAGGTACATAAAGAACTGTTAATATGTGGAAATAAAATTTCATACAACTCAATTAACAAATCATATACTAAAGATATATACTACAATACTGCTACGAAACACATACTGAACTTATAATAACGAATAGCATATAAATTTTTTAAACAAGTACTGTTAAGTATAAATACTCAAACAGACTCTTAAATAATATGATATATAGATTTAAAAATTTGTATAAAAAAATAGTATTTTTCCCTTATTTTTTTAAAAAAAAAGTACAGGTAAAAAACTTTTAACTTTCTGATACTATTACATTAAATTTAATTTATTTAAAATTAAGTTATTCTTATTATACTTTTGAATAATTGTATTCCTTTTCTAATTTTTTATATAGCTTTTTCATCTAGTTTCTTAGACTGTCCTCAAAGAAGTAGATTCTTTCAGGACAAAATACCTAACGTGATTGAACTCAGGGTTTCTACTCAAATCAGGAAAAATATTCCCTGTGTTTCCCCTGTACACATTATGCACAATATATTAAGAGGAAATGCGCATTCACTGTGCTCTTAAGTGACCTATATTAGTCTAGTTATACTAGTTTTAATTGCTGGAAAAATTTAAAGAAATAAGGAACAGTTTAACATACTTAAAACAAATTATGTTATAGAAAATGAAATAGCTTAGTATAGCTGAAATATCATCCCTAAATATTCCATAGATGGCGTTTTGAGTGATCACAACTTTCAAAAGACGAAAATAAGGAATAAAACTCCCTGTATTTTCCCAGTTTGCAAGAAAGAACTCAAAATTCCCTGCATTATCCCTGTTATTTTAGGGGACTTTTCAATTTCCTTGTACTTTCCAGGTTTTCCCTTGTACTGTTACTTAAGACAATTACTTTAAGATTTATTATCAAAAGCCTGCATCCTCTATGATAAGAAAAAAAAGTGTCTATAATCTCATGTTTTAATTGTTGAAAAATTATTTCAACACTACATTATTTGAATTCATTAAAATATGTCAAAATAAACAAATTACTCAATTTTTATAATTTCCATCAATGTGCAAAAATGTCACCAAGTTCTTTAAAATTAAACTTATATTTAAAATATTTGTCCCTTTTAAAATATAGATATTACTTTTCAACAAGATTGAGTTGAAATTTAGACATTGTTTGTAAAAACCATTTGAGACACTTATGCAGTGGCTTTTTTCATTTTTCTTAGTGAAAGAGCTTAAGAACAATCATAACTAAATGAGTACTATGACTTTTACAAGAATATTTCAAATCAAATGATTATTTAATTATGTCTTACGTGTCCTCAATTTTGCTGCCTTCATCAATATTGTCACCAGATTTCGACAATAACTGCGTAATATACTGGGTTGCATTTACTTCTTTCCACTCGGTGAGCTAGAAAAATTCATTTGAAAAAATTTTAAGTTTAATTCAATAAGTATTCGAAGAAATTATGCTATAGTAAATCTTGATAAAAATTTTGAATTGAAGGGTAAAAAAGGACATTTAAGTTGCTTCAGTAGATTACCTTTTCAAAGGAGTGCATGAGTATTAAAGATAAGACGGGCTACGCCAATGAATAGACATCTATTTCCAGTTTGAGATCCATGTGCAATTTGCCACACGTTTTCCACCACATAAATAATTACCCTCAATCAAATAGTTTGCAAGCAAAACGGTTTTGCTCATATATACTCCATAGTTTAAAGTAGCAAAATATGTGATAAAAAAAGAAAAGAAAAAACTATTTTTTTTAAATTTTCAGACCAAAAATCTCCTATAGGTAAAAAAAAATAAAATAATAATTTTATAGTTTTTTGCTTTTATTTATTGTTCTAGATTTAAAGTAAAAATATTTTTCTTTATTGCTTTAACTAAATGAATGCTCAAGAATATGAACTATTTTTTAAAATCACATTTCATTTCTATTTTACAAAAATAACATGAAATTTATGCAATCTATATTGTTTTAGAAGCAGAATTTCAGAATATTCTTCGTGACAAAATTAGAATAAGGAATAAAATAAATTTTGATTTAGGAAACAATGAGTATTCAAGGAAAGTATCATAAAAAAAAAAAATTTGATTCATCAAAATTTGTGTGGATTTTAGTTGAACATCAGTAGTTTTATAAAAACCAATTTCACTATTTCTCTTCTCTACCAATGCCTCTTCCTCCAAAATAACACTTTAAAAAAAATAATAAGTGTATTTCAATTGACATATTTAAATATGAATTTATGTAAACTTATTTTTCAAGGCCTCTCGAAAATTTTTCTGTGGACAAAGCTAAAATAAAAAGTTTCAATAGTTCGCAAAATTCCTCATTAAAAAAAAGAAAAGAAAAGAAAGAAAAAAAAGACAAATTTCTTACTTTTGCTATGTATATGCAAAATAATTTTTTTACTTGAAGTAAATATAAATCGAATGAAAGTAATGGCCGTGGAGTATACAGGGTATGCGAAGTTACAGTAGCCTAGATTGGAAGATATGCATGATTACCTAATATAGTGAAAAAAAAATTATCCTTTAAGGCCTTCTGATAACAGAAGAAGCAGATTTTTTCTACTCCAAACTATTATTTTTTGGAGTTGTACACATGCTTATAACTAAAGTTATCATTCCCTCACTATCTTATCATCCCCTAACTTTAATAAAAAATAAAATAATTTTTGTATTTTTTAATATTGCATATGACTGCTGTATTTTTCTTATTAAATACCTTCCCCAGTATCTTACTAAAATAAAAAAAAAAATTAGAAATTTTTGACTAAATTATTTTTTCTTCTATTAGTTCCAAAAAATAGTTTCTTTGCAGAAAATTACCAAAACGTTAAACTGAACAATTAAATAATGAACTCCTGATAAAGTCCTTTTTAAATAAAATTCTAAAAAACTCTGAAACAATCACTTTTCTCTATCTTTACTTTAAATTTATAAAATAGACATATGAGGAATGATAAAGCAGGTTCGAAGATTAGAGCCCTGGATAAAGCCTGATAATTGAAAAGAATTTAAAAAAAAAAAATAAAAAAATTTAAAAAAAAAAGCAATTACTTTTTTGCATCTTTCCTTTAAATTCAGAAAATATACATATGAGGAATGATAAAACTGATTCGAAGATTGAAGTGGCTCATCACAAGTTGTCTCATCAGATCCAAAGTAATTCAAAAGAAATGATTCCTCTTCAGCATGAACACCTGAAAATAAAAGTAGAATTGAAAAAATGTAAAATTTTGAAATGGATTATAAAAATAAAATAAAAAACTAAATATCAGTATTTTTATAAATGCTTAAAAATTAATCAGCAAAATATAATGCTCAAAAATTAATGATTAATTAGGGATTAATGAATTTATTAAGTGATTTTATAATTATTTTTTAAGTGCCTTTTTCTTAACAATAAAAAAGTATTTCTTTGGTCGCCAATTCTTTGGTATCCTGACGTACCTAATCAGTATACCGTTTAACTGGCAATAATCAGCATGTGGTTTAACTGGTTCACAGATATTCGATTAATGATTTAAAGTATAGGTTTAATAAAAAAATTACAATATATTAAAAACTCAATTAAATCTAGTACTTTTTATGTCCTCTTGTTGTTAATGAAATTAAAATAAATAAGCACTGTCAGGCTATCAGAAAAACTTTCCCATATTTGCATGGTAGTAATTTCAAAGAACTTTGAAAAGGAGTTAACGATTTTGCCCTGGTATTAATTAGCTTCAAATGTCATATAATTTTTTAAAATTTTTCCTGACCTCACAAGGAATGGCTTTACTCGAGTTTCCATAGCAACAGTTAAGCTCAGGCTTTTATTCAAGTGGGATAGCGGACAGTAAAATTCGAATGACTAAGCAATCTCTAATTTCCAATGTTATTGACACAGCGTTAACTATAATGTGTGTTCAAACTATAATGTGAATTATACTGCTTTTGTCCAAAAGAACTTTACGCAGTTTTCTCTAAAAAAAGATAATTAAATACTAACTCTTTTAGAATTTGCATTACAGTAAAAATTATTAATTAAGCATGACATGTTTTACTTAAAATAGTAAAAAACTAACTCGGAAAAATTTACAATAGAGTGTCCTCTTATTTCGCTGTTTTCTTGCAAATAACAGGAAAAATAACTTAAAAGTTATCTTTCCAAGCAATTAGAAATTGAGATAGAAACAATAGTAAATGAGAGATTTTATGTACAATAAAAGCTCCAAGGTACAGTGTCCAAACCAAGTAGCACCTAATACATAAATCTAACCACTAATAACTCTTTTCATACAAAAAGTTCATTAGTTATATAACTTTTTGATTTCGGAGCATGAAGCAGAAGTATATGCCATGAAAAGGTATTGCTTACTGCTCATAAATTACGAATAAAAGTTGAAAAATATGTCGCTCGCGGGGAAGAAAATCCATTAACAAAGCATATTAATACAAATTAAACACGACAATAGTGTGAAAGTAAAATATAATCAGGATATAACAGTGAAATTACCGTCAAAAATAAATAAGAAGTATCGCTCCATTAAGTCTGCGAAAAAAAGAATGAAAATTCCCGCCTGCTAAAAGTTAGACATTTAAAATACAATATTTACTTTAATAATAAGAATACAAAGCTTCCTGGTGATTATTTCTGCTTCCCCGAATATTCGTGACATCAACGCTCGAAAACGCCATCTAGAGAGGAGACCGGTTCCATGGCTTTACCTTCTTCCCAATCTTTCTCTTCAAAGTTGTGTAGGAATGTACTACGTCTTTCCCCCCTTCTTTATATTTTACATTCCACAGTGAACTGATCGTAAACACACCGTTCCTAGTAGAACACCTAAGTCAAGCATCACTGGCTGTGGTCAGTAAGCGGGTGGGTGGCCACTTTAATCAGCCTGAGTAGGGACCGAGGGAGCTCGGTATCGGTTCTTGCTAAACTGTTCTACCTTCAAGTGCTCGACTTCGAGCTCAGGTTGTCGAGCTACCAAAGTCCCCTCTGAAGATGATCAAAATTGCGATGGTAAGCCTTCGGATCTTTCTCAGGGACACTTCCCAGACCGACGTCGCTGAACAGCCGATCCAATTTTGGATTTACAACTACTATGGTTCAACCTCATAGCCTTATAATTTTGAACCCAATCCAGAAGTATAGGATAAACTTGCCTTTTTGGAGAAGGTCTAAATGGAACTAACCCGCATTTGCTTTACATAGAGAAGAAAACCACAAAAATCTCCCAGGGTTAGCCTGAAACAAGGGGACTCTAACCTATGATCCATCTACCACAGAGGATATTTTACGTCAACACTGTGGTCGGTCCGAGCCGGGTGCGGAATTTATATCGAGTAGCCAGTGCTGGGATTTGAATCCGGTTCACGTCATTGGAAGGTGAGCACTCTATCCCTTGAACCACCACAGCTCACCCATGTGTATTAGCCAGTGACTTGTGCAAACTGGAATCTGGCATGCGTTGTTCTTACGCATCGGCAAAACTTCGTTGCCGCTAAACCGATAAGCGCCCAAATATGTCACTATTAATTAAATGGCTAGGTTTTGGACATTAGCAGACTTAGAAATTAAAAAGAAAAAAAGGCGACAATAAAAAGTGTTGAGGTCCATCTCTAGGCTAACCTGGGTGAGTAATTTAGTGGTTAACATAAACATAGCATTAGATACGTCAACCGGTCTCCTTATGTTTGTTATTTTAGAACTGAAAAAGCAGCAAGTTTTTTTCATATTGTGTACAAAATTTATTTATTATATAAATTTTTTTTTTTACATATTTTTGTTCATTAACTAAAATTTTTACTTCTGGACATGGAAACTACAGCTAGTGAAAATCGATCTGAATCTATCAACAGCAAGACACTGTCTCCAGAACTTGATAGGAATAATATCCACCACAGAATTTTCGTCAATCGTAGCCTGCATTTGGAAAAAATTAAATTTTTTGGTTTTGACATGGACTACACTTTAGCAGAGTACAAAAGTCCCGAATATGAAGCACTTCAATTTGATTTAACAAGGGACAGGCTCGTCTCCATTGGATATCCTCCACAGATTAAATCCTTTCAATACGATCCAACTTTTCCAATTAGAGGCCTATGGTTTGATAAAACTTACGGAACTCTTAACAAAGTAGACGCCTATGGTAACATATTGGTTTGCATTCATGGATTCAAGTTCTTAAAAGCATCAGAGATACATAATCTGTATCCAGATAAATTCCTCCATCTTGACGAAAGGAGAATTTATGTTATGAACACACCATTTAACCTCCCCGAGGCTTGCATGTTGGCCTGTTTGATTGATTACTTCACCAACTCATCTGAATATGTTTCTGGAAGAAACGGAATTAAAGGTGGAGATATCTTCATGTCTTACGCCTCAATTTTTCAAGATGTGAGAGATTCCATTGACTGGGTACATGCGTACGGAACGCTGAAGGAGGAGACTGCTAAAAATCCAACTACATATGTGGTGAAGCATGAAAAGCTGCCTATACTCTTTGATAATATGCATAAAGCTGGGAGGAAATCTTTCCTCGTCACCAACAGTGATTACGTCTACACATCGCAGATTTTGACCTATTTGTTCGATGTTCCATCAGGAAACGGAAGAGATTGGAAAGAATATTTTGACTACATAGTCGTTGATGCCAAAAAACCGGTCTTTTTTGGCGAGGGCACCATGATGCGCCAGGTCGACGTTGAAACAGGCTCTCCCAGAATTGGTGTTCACGTTGGGCCCCTTTCTCCTGGTCAGGTATATTCTGGGGGCAGCTCGGATGTTTTTAAATCTCTTATAAAAGCCGGAGCGAAGGGTGTGCTGTACGTAGGTGATCACTTATATGGTGACATACTGAAATCTAAGAAATGCCGTGGTTGGAGAACTTTCTTATTAGTACCAGAGCTTGAAAAGGAAGTTCGGGTCTGGGGATCAAAAAGTGATCTGTTCCATAAAGTTCAAGATTTGGATGTTCAGCTTAGCGATACTGGCGAGGAAATGGACTCTGCCATAGGTCAGCTGACTCGCGATGAGTCTTATGGTATCTTAGGCAGTACTTTTAGAAGTGGTTCCAGGCGGACACACTTTGCCAGTCAAGTTTGTCACTATGCTGATTTGTACTCTAGCACATTTATGAATCTGATGTACTATCCATTCAGTTTCATGTTTATCGCTCCTCTAATGTTCATGCCTCACGAATCGACAGTACAAGAAAGGAATACCAAATATCGAAAAACTTGATAAAGAATACACCTTTAGAAGAAGGCTTGGCTTAGTGAAAGTAAATTGCCGCTAAAATAAAGCAATTAAATCAATTGATTACGCGAATTTTTTTTTTATTGCTCTCAGCACTATATCGTGCGCCAGCGTAACTGGGCAATTTTTAATCGAATTAATAAATCTTATGATTATTCACCTTATTCCTGACGGAGGTTCTCTCTATTATCAGTAGATGGCAGCACAATGAGAGGCTTTTATAACTTCTTAATGATACGAATGCATTGATTTATACTAATCTGAGAGGCTATGACGTCATAAGAGGACTACAAGACTTTCGGTTTGAATTTTAGTTTTTTTTAGGAAACTGAGTAAATAGGTACAGTTCAATGAAGTATTTTTTTCTCATTAGTTGAAATTAAAATAATGCCCGGGAACTTACATAAAAACAGACAATCGTTACATGGTGGTTTTAGAACCTAAAGCAAACAAAAATCATGACCAAATTAATAATAAAATAGAGTTGGTACAACCCCCTGCTCGCTGCGCTCGTCAGACCCCAGAAATACTTACTCAGTTTCCTTCGATTCTAGTTTGCTTTGCTCTCTCTTTGGATACGTATGTAGTTCAATCTAGTTTTGCATGCTGGTACTCTTTCTAAAATTAAGTTCTAATTATCTCCAACATATTAATCCAACGAAACATCTGATTCATAAACAATTCATTTAGTAGTTTATGTACAGTGCACAAAAAAAGGACCACTCTGAATAACTTTTGATCCAATGATCCGATTTTCGCGGATTCAATCTTAATGGCAACCTCAAATATGATAAGTGCAAGGCCAGGATAGCCTGGTTGGTAGGGCGCTGGGCCTATGTCCAAGAGTTTGTGAGTTCAATTACCGCCGGCCGAAGACTCCCCGTGTAGTAAATGGCGACTGATGCACGTTAAATCTGTCGAGTCGAAAGTCCTTTGTTAATTATAATTTCTAATACTCAATAGATGGCGCTCTGCGCAGCAATGTAAAAACATTAGTTTCTAATCAGTTTCCTCCATGACACTGTACCATCATCATCATCCTTCTTGTTATTAAATATATTTTATGTTAAAAGGCGTTTGTAATGATTGAAACCCCGAGATCTGAGAGATCATATCACCGTATTTAATATCCTTCATGTTCCCATAACAAATCAATACATATGGGGGTACTGATCCAGGAGTTTCCTTGGCTGCTGGATTGGGTTCAAAATTACAAGGCTACGGAGTTGAACATTAGTAGTCGTAAACCCGATATTGGGTCGGCTGTTCAACGACGGATATAAAATATAAAATTAATAAGTTCAGACGAAGTTACAAATTTAAACACAAAAGTGCACTTTATCTGAAAGAACATACCTTTTTTTCGACTGATTCGGATTTCTGACCCCCTAAATATAGGGGATAGCTGCAATCTGTGCAATATGGTTCCAATAATTTGGTCAGAAGAGTGCTCCAAAGCTTGGATCCCTTAATGTTAATTTTACTTTTTGCGTATTTTCTATACCTCGGAAACTTTCTAATCTAATTGAAAAATTTTTGCTCACAATTATAAAGTTTGTTTGTTCAAAAGGTAATTCTATGCATAAAAATAATTTTTTGCAAATATATTTCTCATCATTTTATTTAATAATGGTCGAAAAGATTTTGAATTGCAGTATTAAAATTTTTTGCATCATTTTAAGGAACATAATTTTACATGCCAAAATACAAAATTTGAGCAAAATTAGTTGAATTAGTTCCTGAGAAATTTAATTTTAAATGCCTGAATTTTTTGAAATTAAGTTTCTCAGATTATCGTAATATAATAAACTAACGTACAAAAGAAAATAATTATAGATAAATAAGGGGTGCACAGTGAGGCATAATATGATTCCCTCGAAAAACCGCAAAATTTAATTAAAAATCTTGATATAAGTCGGACACCCAAGTGATTCTGTATGGTTGAATGGTAGGAAGCATTAAAATTGCTAGTCCCGAGGGTCCGAACCCCGGTCGCTGTCAAATTTTAAATATATTTAGAAATTTTTTTTTAAAATTTTTTTTACGTAAGTAAAATATTCTTTTTTAATTGTGTTTTTAATTAAAGCGTTAAAATTATAAAATTTTTGCCCATACACTGTATAGATAATGCCCTATATTTCCTTTTAATATTAACCTGAAATTTTAAAACTCGGTGAGATATTATACTTTAATATACAACTATTCGAAGTTAAATAATTATTGACAAATTACTGAGGGCATTAATTTATTTTTTAATTTTATAACCGTCGTTGAACAGTCAACCCAATTTTTTGGGTTTACGACTACTGCCGTTTAACTTCGAAACCAATTTTGAACCCGAACAAGGGAACTCCCGATTAAGGTATTGGAAAAAATTTGTCTTCATGGAGTATTCTTTGACGAAACTAATCCGCATTTGCGTTACATGGAAGCGAAAACCACGTAAACCTCCCACGATTAGTCTGAAGCAAGGAGAATCTAACCAATGATTTTTCTACCACTGAGGATATTTTACGTCAGCACTGTGGTCGGTTCATAAAGGGTGCGGAATTCATATCCGTCAGCCATCGTCGGGATTCGCACCCGGTTCACTTAGAACACCCGGTCCATTTAGTTCCCCAGTGAGTGGTATCCAGTGGGTACCACGTGCAGGTGGCAGGCATTAACCCCCTTGTTTTACTACGCGATTGCCTTACTAGGATGCTGTACTTAAATTTAAATCTTTTCTCTTTTTAAGAAATTAGACAAAAGAAAGCATACCTACCTTCTCTGAATAAACAGAATTAAACATGCCTTTTTTCGGAGGATTTGGAATTCTTTTTCTTCTATATATGAAGGGTAGGCACAATACCACAGTAAAGTGAAGGAATCGCTTGAAAAATCAGAATAAAGCACCTTTAAAAATGTTTTTTCTAGTCGACGTTCACTAGTCCATTTCATCAGTAGTCTTCAATAGTTAATTTTATTTTTCAATTACCATTATAATAAATGTTTCATTTAATAACACCAACGTTTTTGAAGTATCACAATATCAATGGTAAAGGATTAAACTTTCGTAATGCTTCCAATAATGTATTTCAAAAATTTTTAAAAATGTTTTTATTTATACAATTAATTAACTGGCATGCAAATATTTCGAAATGAAACAAAAACTTTAAAAATTGCGTGATAAATTTGACTACTAAGGGTTAAAATAGTTTTGTTAATGGAGCAGCAAAAACGACTAACTTAGAAAGCATAACTTTCGAAAGAATAGAGAAATTTTTGGGTTAAATTTTTTATTTATTATGAAAGTGACGCTGCTATGTTTTTCGTTCTTCCTCTTTAGTTATTTGTCTGGTTTTTTATAAAATGTAATCAAAATTACGATAGACCAAAAATTTTGCTTCTAGCATTTAGGACAAACTGATAAATTCTATTGGCATCAGATACAGAAATCTAATTAAAATTCAAGCAATGTAGCTAGTCGAAATTTTGATTCTTGATGAATTTTTTTCACTGCATTAAGAAACAATTTCAACTTCTTTTATATTCACTAGGTACAAATCTATAGAAAATTGCACACTAGTCACAAAGCTGTTAGAATTGTTGATGCAATGAATTGTTTTTGCATTCTTGACGATGTGGCTAAATTGGCGATGAATTCTTTTTATTATAGGAAGGAAACTACAGGGTGTTTATAAAGTCCTGGACCCATTTTGATGTTTAATAACTCATAAAATAATAAAGATAGATTAAAATTAATAACATGAATGGTTATATAGACTCAAAAAGTTTCATGACTCTTGTCAATGAACTTCCACGTGTGCCCCCTTCGTCACACGGAGAATATCAAATCGATAATCAATTTCACGCCAGGTAGCGGCAAGCATGTCGGCATCCACAGAGGCTATTGCAGTTGTAATTCTGACTTTTAGGTCATCAATGTTCGACACAATCCTCCTGTAAACATTGACCTTTATAAATCCCCAACGAAAAAAGTCCAGTGGCGTTATATCAGGTGAACTGGGTTGCCAAGGAATTGAACCTCTTCGCCCAATCCATCTTCCTGGAAAATGGTCACTCAAAGAACTACGAACGATGATACCTCAATGAAGTGGTGCACCATCTTGTTGCAAAAAGACATGTGGCTTCAAACTTCTTCTAGTTGTGGAAATTCGAAGTTTTTCAACATGTCTAAGTATACGACTGACGAGAACGTCTTTTCTGTAAAAAAGAAAGGCCCAATGACTCGGTCGTGCATAATCGAATCTGAATTCGACGAATTCCTTGGCCACCCAGGTCACCTGATATAACGCCGATGGACTTTTTTCATTGGGGATTTATAAAGGACAATGTTTACAGGAGGATCGTGTCGAACATTGATGACCTAAAAGCCAGAATTACACCCGCAATAGCCTCTGTGGATGCAGACATGCTTGCCGCTACCTGGCGTGAAATTGACTATCGACTTGATATTCTCCGTGCGACGAAGGGGGCACACGTAGAAGTTCATTGACAAGGGTCATGAAACTTTTTGAGTCTATATAACCATTTATGTTATTAATTTTAATCTATCTTTATCATTTTATGAGTTATTAAACATCAAAATGGGCCCGGGACTTTATAAACACCCTGTATAGATAATTATATTTTCAACAGTGATAAAACTGTATTGCAATTTTGTTAACTTTAGTTCAAACACGATTCGAAATTACTAAAACTGATAATTTTATTCAGGCGATATTGGGACGATAAATTCTGCTTGTTATTGGCAATATATTTTTATTCGCGAGATAATATGACGATATTTTTTAGATTCATTTTAGATTTATTTTAGATTCTGGATTTATGTACTCAATATTTACAAGTATTTAAGTAACTTAAAAACAAAGTCCAGCTTTTATTTCTGAGCCCCATTTCTCCCTTTTCCTTAATCTACACTTCGTCAGCATCATGTCCATAATGAATCTCATTTCTCACCCAGGAATAGGGGAACAACACGTC